CTTTTACTTTATGACTGCACTCTGGATTCTGGAACTACAACAGTTCATTCTTTTCATCAAATCAAGCACAGTATTTTCAACATTATAGCGATGTAAATAAACTACTTGACAAAATGTAGTTCCTGAATGAAGTATTAAAAGCCAAGGTAAGACGAAATGAAATATATTCAAGTGAGTTTACATATAAAGCATATCGAAACACAGCGCCGATTCATAAGTCGGCTGTAAACACAAGGAATTTCTGAAGAGACCAGAAAAGAAATAGTCTTGGCAATAGATATTTAGAAGTTTCGCGAGAGTTAGGTGCCATTTTGAGGGTATTTTAATTTTTAACCAAGAATGCTTGCTTTAAACTCGTATTTGTTCATGCAGAACGGCCTTACACAGTGCTGTCTCGGTCAATTATATAAGAATTTTAAATAAAAGCGTTTCGTTTTCAGTTCAAAACGACATCTAACATCTTTTCTCTCATGTATATTTCTCAAGACATTGATTCAACAGTATCTATAAAGAAAATGGCGTCATACGACACTGGTTATGAAGATGAACTATTTCAACATCCCGTTGGCCACACGTTGCATTGTGGTATATGCATGAACGTTTTGAAGGATCCAATTTCGTGTCGACATAATGAGCATTTGTTCTGTCGAGCTTGTATCACCATACATCTTATGAACTTTCAAACATGTCCATCGTGTATGGAACCACTCACTGTCGAATCACTGCGCCAAGCACCTCGGACCGTAACGAACTTACTTTCCGAATTAAAGATCCGCTGTCAATTCTTCGATCGTGGTTGCGGACAGTTTGTTGAATTAGGAGATCTTGAAAGGCATGTCACTGACTGTGGGTTCGCCCCAGCAGTCTGCTCTAACAAAGGATGCCAACTTGAGGTGAATAAACAAGATTTACTACACCATGAAACAGCTGTGTGTGAAGTATGCAGAGTCAAGTGCCACAGTTGCAACGAAATCAAACAAGAGATGGATACAGTGAAAGTTAATTTGGCAGCAATGAATGAAAAGTTGAAAGGAGTTGGGGAACAGTTGATCAGACATGAGAAACAGATGGACAGAAATCAAGAGAATGTCAAAACAGAGTTTGGAAATGTGGTCGCAAAAGCTGAACTGGTTCAAGAACAACTTCGAAGACAACTCAACAAGCAGGAAGAAAGCAATCGTCGTCTTGAAGCAGACAATGTAGAAATAAAGAAAAGTTTAAATGAAATTATGAAACAACTGGAAAGAATGACACAACAAACATCGCACAAAGTTCAGGCTGAAGAAATGAAGAAAGATATTGCAGAAGGTGAAATGGACAGAGAGCCGAAGGTCCTTGTCGCTGGAGGCAGGAATGGCAGAAAACATCTAAATTCAGTGGAAATGTTCAGTCTCTCAAACGCAACCTGGACACCACTAAAGCCAATGAAAGAAAGTCGTAGTAGACAATCTTCAGTTGTTCACAACAATCAAATTTTTGTCATGGGAGGTGTGGGTCTGAGTGGAGAAGCAATCAAGTCAATTGAAAAACTATCACTGAATGCTGTTCAAGTTGATCAGTCCATAACTTGGGAAAACGTTCTTGCTGAGTTACCTGAAGCATTGTGCGGACACTGCAGTGTAGTTTATAATGGGCGGTTGTTAGTGATTGGGGGTTATTATTATAGTAAATGTGCATGTTCTGATAGTATTACTGAGATTTCCCTTGTCCCACCTTATACCAGTAAACTGTTGGCTACCATGCCACAGGCAAGATGTTATCATGGTGTTACAATGGTTGGTGACAAGATACTGATTCTTGGAGGTAGGGCCTCAATTGTGGACTGTAGTACAAAACATACAAATGTTTTGTTGTATGATATTATTAAGAATGAATGTAAGGAGTTGGCAGCTCTACCCTACCCTGTGTCTGAAATGGCCACAGTCAAGTGGAGTGACAACAGTGCGATCATAATGGGTGGTGCTGACCATGACAATCAACCAATAAACAAAGTTTCATTATACAAGATCAAGACCCAGAAGAGTCGTATGTTACCAGACATGAAGTACAAGAGGAGAGGATGTGTGGCTGCAGTTGTCAGAGACACTGTGATTGTCATGGGAGGCATGAAAGAAAGAAGAAAGTACTTAAAGTCTGTAGAATGTTTTCGATTTGATCGCTATAGCTGGCAAGAACTTCCTGATATACAGGAAGCGAGATACTTGGCTACTGCAGTTGTGTGTTAATTATGTATTGTATATACAGTATTTATAGCAACATATAATTACGTTGTTGCAGTATTTTATACACTTTTATACTTGAGATATTATAATAGTTTTATAAATAAAATTTTGTACCAATATGACCAAGTTTAAGCAAAAATTAGTATGTTGAAATTTTTGAATTTATGGTTGAATAAAGTAGGGTGCATTAGGGCACATTGTGGCTTAATGGGTCAATATTAATTAAACCACTGAGCTGCATGCAATGCACTCAAATTTAATGCATCCTATGACTTTACTTGTCAAGGGGAGAGTTTTGCGTCTGTCTGTTACAAACTTTACATAATTATAATAAATTTATATTATAATTTTTGTACTAAAAGATGCCCGCCATACTTTTGTATTTTTAAAAGTTAGTAAATTTGATGTTGTTGATGTTGTAGATACAAGCACAAGGAGTGGCCTATTAATGCTCAATATTTCAAACATTTTTCCCTTGAAAAATAAACTTGTCTGCCGTTAGACAGAATATAGAACAAAGTAGGAACATTGGGGCGCATTACAGCTTACATGTGGGTGGTTTAACCAAATGGCCCTTTTACTCGCCAAGGGGATTATGGGAATGTCTTAAAGCGACAAGTAAAATAGTAGGAACTGATCCAACTTATTCGCGGCAAATTTTGTTACTGACCAATAACATTGCCGAAATTGTTTTTTCACTTCGCGCGAACAAATTCGCTTAGTGGAAAACGGGCTTGAACACATATTACTTAACATGCTGAAATTATTTGCGTCTCCAGAAACGTGTTGCTTATTCCAACGATGATTGAAGAGTTGAATACTTTGATCTGCATATTTTAAATCTTGCAATCTCTGTTGACTCTGCTACAAATCACGAAACAACTGGAAAGAATGACACAAGAAACATCGCATGAAATTCAGGCTGAAGAAATGAAGAAAGATATCGCAGAAGGTGGAATGGACAGAGAGCCGAAGGTCCTTGTTGCTGGAGGTCGGAATGGGAGAGAAAATCTAAATTCAGTGGAAATGTTCAGTCTCTTAAACACGACCTGGACACCACTAAAGCCAATGAAAGAGTGTCTTGAGAAAGCATCTTCAGTTGTTTACAACAATCAAATGTTTGTCACGGGAGGTGTGGGTAGAATAGTAACGAAGTCAATTAAAAAACTGTCATTGAATGCTGTTCAAGTTGATCAGTCCATAACTTGGGAAAATGTTCTTGCTGAGTTACCTGCACCATTGAATGGACACTGCAGTGTAGTTTATAATGGACGGTTGATAGTGATTGGAGGTTTTGATGGTAGTAAATGTGCATATTCTGACAGTATTACTGAGATTTCCCTTGCTCCACCTTATACCAGTAAACTGTTGGCCACCATGCCACAGACAAGATATCTTCATGGTGTTGCAATGTTTGGTGACAAGATACTGATTCTTGGAGGTAAGCTCAATGGTTTTTCCAGAACAAATCTTGCAAGTGTTTTGTTGTATGATATTACTAAGAATGAATGTAAGCAGTTAGCATCCCTCCCCTACCCCGTGTATGAAATGGCCACAGTCAAGTGGGGTGATGACAGTGTGATCATAGTGGGTGGTGCTGACAGTAACGATCAAACGTTAAACAAAGTTTTATTATACAACATCAAGACGCAGAAGAGTCGTATGTTACCAGACATGAAGTATAAGAGGCAAGGATGTGTGGCTGCAGTTGTCAGAGACACTGTGATTGTCATGGGAGGCCAAGATGAAAGAAGAAAGTCCTTAAAGTCTGTAGAATGTTTTCAATTTGATCGCTATACCTGGCAAGGACTTCCTGAAATGCGGGAAGCGAGATACTGCGCTACTGCAGTTGTGTGTTAATTATGTATTGTATATATTAGCAACCTAATTAAATTGTTGCAGTATTTTACACACTTGTAGTTGTAGCCATACTGCCATAGGTGTTCGTAGTGGCGTAGTAGGTCACTATACGCCACTGCGAATCAGAGATCGAGCATTGCATGGTTTAAATTCACGCCCAATTGGCTACAAAAACAGTTGGTAGAATATTTTGACCGTCACACATTGAAATTTTAAATTATTTTAGTCATTTTTATGCCTATTACCGCTAATTATTGGAACTCCTATGATAAAACTTGCCCCATACCTTCGCAAATACGATGTTTCATTTTTATTAACGCAAGTGTTTGTCACTTTTCTTTCGAATCGCATATAGTTTAAAATATTGATGATCCTTAAGCAATTTGGAACTGACATCTTACAGAAACATGTTAATGACAGCCGACAATTGATTTGAACACTCTTCAACATTATACATACAAAACAGGACATGCAGCAGTGTATGGGCTCAAAAACCGTGAAGGTCAGTGGAGCAAGCTGGCGCCTTTCTCATGAAGAAGCTCATAGCTAATATGCATAGCAATAAAGTTTTGCTTAATAATGAGTGTTTAAAAAGTCCTTGTTTCAAAAAAGAGAGAAAATCGAGAGCCTTCTTCAGTTAATTGCTACATTGCTTAATTGTTTTGTTCAAATTTATAATTTGTTTAATTAGAAGAATATAATGTTTTCCTGTTTGAAGAAATCTAGGTAGTGTTTCGACATTTTAAGAAAGTATTTGGGGTACATGCTTACCTTTTAATATTTTTATAAGGATTACAATTTCAACTTTAGTCAGTTACCATTAGAAACATTTATAGTTAATGTTAACAATTATGTACTATTTAAAAATGTTTACATTAAAATAATCAAATTACTTACTATAACTAGTTATCTTTGTTTAAATGACTCAATATTTACTTGGGATGATGTTGATGTAATACAAAATACCGATAGTCTAAATATTTTCACATGCCGTTTAAACTAAAGAGCATTATATTAGCTAAACGTTAAATTTACACAGTCTACAGGCGGCTATATATGCACCTGAAGCTACCAGATGACCAAACTATTTTGCAAATTTTTTCTCTATAATTCAAAGGATTCCTTGAAATCTTTTACAATTTGGAACGTTCGATCAATAATGCATGGCAAAATGACAACATATGCAATTACTTTCTTCCTCAACGTGGACAACGACGTTTTTAACTAACACACTGACCATTAGGCTCCTGCACAGAGGTTTTGTACAACAACAATTCTTGGGGTTCAGCGGCATCCAAATTGTCCTCCTGTTTTTCTTGGTAAATCTGGGCGCTGCGACGCCTGCTTCGTCTCATAATCAAGATAAATATAATCACTGTTACACCAAGTATGCAGATACCAGACGCTAAAGCGACCACACAAATAAATATGGTTTCATTCAAACCAAGAATCTCGTTCTTTTCAGAATCAATATTTGCAACTATGAAGAAATAACAAAAAATATCTGAAAAATATATCTTAAACGTGGTGGTCCAGTGTAGGCAGTATTCTACAATATCAATGCTGTCGTGGTTTGTGTCTGAACTACCTAAAAAAATTGTCAAACGTGGTGGTCCAGTGTATAGGAAGTATTCTACAATAAGCTACCTTCTACAAAAGGATATCTCAAACTTGGTGGTCCAATGTAGGTAGTATTCTACAATAAACTATCGTGGTTTGTATCTGAACTACCTGAAAAAGATATCTCAAACGTGGAGTTCCAACCACAAAACGTACTTCTATCATTAATTTGTGAACTTGTTGATGTCTATAGTGACTTCAAAAGAATTCATAACTGACCTGGTTCGCTCGTTTTTACTGTCATGTTGGCCAAATGGCCATTACTGATTGCCTCTTGTAAAGGTTTGAAAGGATCCTCCACATCCGTTGAAAATATTAGTTCAAATTCAGCCACAACACTGCCCTTTCTATATTGAAAACAAAAATTTTAACACGTTCTTTAAAACAGCATTAAAACAGACTATTAAATAGATTTATAGTATATAAAAACATTCCTTAACGTTTGCGTGCAATGCGAATGGAAAAGACAATGAAACATTCCGATCACTGGCTCTTGGATGGATGACATGAAGAACAGAGGGATTTTGAAAACAATGAAAAGACAATTAAACATTCTGATCACTGAACATTGCACCCTGATGCGCCCTACTTCATTATTTTACTGTCTAACGCCAGACGATTTTATACTCGTCAAGGGGAGGGTGCTGGCGCTCAATGAGTCAATCATAATTGTACCTGAATTTCACGATGGATGCGAAGACAAACTCGGGTTTTTCTTCATATACTTTCCTTATCTTCAAAAGACAAAAGTTGATGATATCATTGTATGAAAAGAGTTCAAGATCAAACGAAAACGCTGGTCATACTTTTTCAATCAGTTGAGTTGCCAGTGTCTTGTATACTTCGGAGGACTTGTCTGTTAGTTCATCTGTCCATTTTTCGTTCGTCAAAACTAGTTCACTCTTTTTTGACACAACACCTGCGCAAGATGAAAAAACCCCGCAGAATTATAGCGTATGGCAATTATGGCAACGCGCTCTGAATGCACCTTACTTCAATATTTTAATCTGTCTAACGTCAAAATGCTAGCATTCAATCCAATTATGGGATAATATTAAACTATTTATAACTGGATAGCTCTATTACCGCTGACTAAGCTACTCCTCCTAGAAGTCTACTGCTTGTTCGCAGCTTGTTGACAAGTTGTCAACTTGCTACAAGGTTGTTGAGCTCAACAGACGTGTTACAAGTTGTTCCAACAACTTGTTATCGTCCTGCAATTCAACAATTTGTCAACAAGTTGTGAGTGACAACCTTGTAGCACCAAGCAATCTCCCCTTGACAAGCAAAATCGTCTGACATTAGACAGAGTAAAACAACGAACTCAAACAATACAATTGAAGTGCAATGTAGCTTAATGTGTTACTTACTTTTGCTTTTGTTGCGGATACAGTTTATTCCGTCGCCATCAAAAAACGGTGGACATTTTTCACAACTATAACTATCATTCGAAGTTCTCGAGCATTTCAAGCCAGGAAAACATAGGACTATTTCACAAGGATTGTTTGGTAAGCATGTGGAAACACCATCGCCGTGATATTTTTCTGGACATTGACATGTAAAGGATCCTCCCGTATTTATACACGTGGCTAGGGCGTGACAAATTGACCTGTCTTGAGCGCATTCGTCAATATCTAAATATTTCAATAACAATAATAATAATAATACGGTTACGGCTAACATTTCTGTAGCTCAAATTTGCATGTAGAATATGATCATAGATATCTTATATACACTAGATAGTGCATCTAATTATTCTGCAATTCAAAAATTGAAGCTGTGATTGCAGACTCAGGATATTCCCATGAAAAGAGAAGATTCGTATGTTTTCGATTTCTTAAACAGGGAACTTAAACATTAAGTTATACCTATTCCAAATACATTTTTAAACTATTCAAATGATGAAAGTTATTGTTGTTTTTAAGCGTTTATTAGCGAGTGGGAACTACCAACATGGCCGCCATCTATTCCAATGGTGGTAACCGCTGGAATATTCTTGGCTTCATTTTTATTAAGAGATGCGCTATCTAGTGTATATAAGATATCTATGAATATGACCAATTGCGCTTTTCATCATAGACTATCCATTTTTACAATAATTGTAATATTACTTTATCCTAATCCACATCGTCAACTTTCCCTGTGGAAGGAAACCCGACCATCTGGAGAAAACTCACGACCTTTCGGCAGAGCGTTGCCTGACTCTTTTCACATGAGTTTCGTGTTTAGCCTAGACTTTCCCAAAGTCCTTTCCAGTTTGCAAGTCTATGTTTTGCCTTGAGCCTTGTTATGCTAAAATGACTGATTGCTATAGTACCAAGGGTAAAATGGGAGTGATAATTGTATATAATGGTACTTAGTATTAGTAAAAAGGTTCAGATTTGACTTCCATTACCACTACCTCGTGCTGGCTTTGTACGCATCTGATTGGTTAATCGAGTAGACTGAACGCATCTGATTGGGTAATCGAGTAGATTGAACGCATCTGATTGGTTTGTGGTAGCAGTCGTGGAAGTAAAATCTGAACTCTGGAACAACATTTAGATACTCAACAACGTGTCCATGTTACCTGAGCAGTTACCATCGTCGTTTTTTATATAACCACGATCACATACACAGGTAAACGATCCTTCCGTATTTCTACACAGCGCATGCTCACCACATATATTTTCTGACTCAGCACACTCGTCTCGATCTGTCGAAAAGAATACATCACTTTAGACAGAAAGCTTCGGGTTCATAGAGATACAACTACCTGAAATACACAAGGAGATCTTCGACGTTTCAAGGCCCTTCCTTTGCCACTACCTACACTGGCATAGACAGTTCAAGATTATTACTTTAAACTTGTGTATTTCACGACCATATATTTGCTTGTTTGCATGGGCGTACCGGGCGGGGGGGGGGGGCGGAGGGGGCGGCAGCCGCCCCCAGTCTGCTGGGCAAACAAAGCCAATCGGGCAATATTCGTTTACATGGCTTATTATAAAAATAAATAGGACAAATTCTGTCAATTTTGTTGGAAATTCTGTCAATTTTGTGGGAAATATGCTATCTAATAGGAATGTTTCGTAATCACTCGTAATCCTCCTCCTCTCCCCCGTCGACAACAATTTTGGAAAGTTTCTCCGGAACATTTTTTTGACAACGGCACAATCCGAAAAAGCCGGGCAAATTTCTTTCCGCCCCCCTAATTTTTTCCTTCCCGTACGCCCATGCTTGTTTGTGTTCATGCAAGGATGAATCAATCTTCTGCACGATGTACCTGTGCAATTGTGTTTTCCATCGCCAGTGAAGCCTCTTGAACAGCGACATTGATAAGATCCGTAGGTGTTTGTACATTGATCAAGGCATGGTGTTGGTGTTTCACCACATTCGTCGACATCTTGATAGAAATTGAAAGAAATATTAACCCATTAAATTGCATTGCACCCTAATGCACCCTACTTTATTACTTTACTCCGTCTAACGCCAGACGATTTCACTCAGCAAGGAGACGCGCTGGAGCTCAGTGGGTTAATCAGACTATCTACCCATGTGTCTAATTAAAGAAATTTTAAAAGATATGTAGACTAAATAACCCAGAATGTTATAGACCCATTGCACATGACGTCACTGCGCCGGTGACGATGCATCTGGAAGACAAATTAGCAATCTATGCATGATAGAACTTTTGTAAACAAAGCAAATTTTGTAAAAGTTTATAATAATTTTGTGTTAAAATGGTTAATTTTTGCGCTGTATATCGTTGTTGTACCCGAAAAGATATTGTTAGGGAGCATCTGGAGGACACTCTAAGGATTTGTGACGTAGTGCGTTTAATAATTATATATTTGGGAAACTTAAACGAGGAAAAAATAAAAATCGCTGCCCTGTCGTATCGTGAAACAGCCTTGACTCTAAATGAATACGATCTAAGGAAGTAATTCGAATGAGTGATTAATAGTAGCTCAGGTGTCAAAGCGTTAAGCCCTGGGCAAACTAGGAAAAATTGTTGTGGAAACATTTGTGATTCTCGATATTTCCTCAAATGTTTCCCTGTTTGCCCACCCGTGGAAACATTGTTGCGGAAACAAAATTTGCTTCCCGGGAAGCAAAAATGTTCCCTAGCGAATTCAGAAACATTTGATGTTTCCCCCATCTTTCTCACTAATGTTCCCTAGTGTTTGCCCACTCTGGGAAACATGGCGAAACATTGGCAGGAAGCAATGTTTCCTAGGTTTCCCAGGGCGTTAGTAAAATCTCTACCTGTACAGTTGAGATGTCCATCCCCATGAAATCCTTGCTTGCACGTACATGTGTAAGAACCACTCGTATCTCTGCAGTGCGCATGCTCGTGACACGGTGATCCGTCACACTCGTCAATGTCTAAAATTAGAGTGTCAAAATAGTTACGAAATCCTGTACGGTCGAACCTACCTGATGGCGACCCCGGAGGGATAGAACACAATGCCCGAATTCATTAAAGCCCGCATTTACAACTAGGTGTGAATCTCTTCTTCTGATACATGGGAACGGGTGGACGATTCGTGAATGTTCAGATGAGGATAGATATAATCACTACTCAGAGCATTTATCTACTCGTTCACACACACCTGAAATCGTTGCAAAAATTGTATGTGTAAACGGCTCACTAGTTGGCAGATAAGTTGCCTAAGTCAGTGCACTGTCCGCTCAGTTCAAGACACGTCACAGGCTAAACAACATTCTAAATTTCCAAATATCAAAGTTCATACCTGTGCAGTTGTATATTCCGTCTCCAGTAAAGCCTGCTTTGCAGAGGCATTCGTGTGATCCCACGGTATTGTTGCAGTATGCATTTGAATGGCATTCTTTCCCTGCCTTCTCACAATTATCTAGGACTGTCGATGCTAGAAATGCAATACACAAGTTATACGCAACAGCAAAAATCTTCTTCTGTTTTGGGGCAAGGGCTTTTGTACGAGATGATGGTGGATTTCAGACTTTCAGGATATGTTACCAGGCAACAAATTGGCGATCAACCAATTCAGAAATGTTAATAATGGGTCAGAAATCCTCTGATCGTAATGATTGAAACAAGCTTTCGACTACCTAGTAACTGTAGCCTTTAACAGGTTAAAAATAAATGGAAAAAATACTGTCATATTACAAGTATGGCCCAATCTGTGCTAATAGTATTATACAGAGGTGAAACTGTTATCAGACAACTGCTAATTATTACAGGAATCGAACCGTGGTAAATAGGGTACAAACACTGACTGACTGACTAGTCCTTGTCACAATTGAATAGAACAAATTTGAACATTATAAAACAATACCTGTAGTCGGTGGCATGTTCGTCATTTTATTTCTTGTTGGTAGTTTCCAGTTAAATATTGGTAGAACTCCACTTGGTATAATCATGTACTCATCATTAGAGCTACCAAACGATTCATAAACTCCTTTAACAAAGTTAACCTCTGTGTTTTCGTATTCCCAAATAAAATCTTCCAACTCAATGGTAAAATTCATTGAAGCGCTGTTAATATCTCCAATATATAAAATACCGTAGCTTGTATTTGGGTCAGATTTCGCGGAGGCGAGGTTTACGGTGTCTTCATCAACAGTAAGAAACAACATCTTTTCATTTCTGCGGTATCTTACGAAATGCCAGTTGTCATCACTGATAATTTCACTGGAACGTAAGATATCTTGATCTAGAAAAGAAAGTCCTCCAGTCATTTTGCAAAAAAACAGAAAAGTCTGGATTCCATTTGGTGGCAACTGTCGCGAACTTGTCGTGGAGTGTTTGTCGTGAATGATTTTTATGGTTGTAACTGTCGAAAGTTAATTTCTTACCCAGGGATCGTAAAGGTCCAGACACACCGGACGCGATTCGACAACGCGACGCGATTTTTCGATTTTCACTGACCGATAACTTTCCAAATATTTAGAAGCGTTATCACATTTTGAGTTATTTGGTCAACATATCTTTCAAAATTTGCTCTCATTGGCTGTTTTATTAACTTTCAAAAACTAAAAAATCGCGTCGCATTGTCGAATTGCGTCCGGTGTGTCTGGACCTTAACAAACGGCTGGCGGCAGTTTTGAAAATACAAACACGGTTCCTCCATGAGGGACCTTTGCTCCCCCCTGATCGTCACAAAACTGTTGCGACGCTGTCCTTTTTCTGTTTCCATTAAAACATAACTGTCACGACACTTTTTAGCCTGTCGCAACTGTCGCCGAGATAAAACTCGAGTCTATCTCGACGACACTGTTGTAACTGTCGTGAACTGTTGCCACCGTGTCGCGACAAGACTTTTCTTCATGTTTCCATTTGGTTGCGAACACTAGTCTGAAAACTACTTGAATTACGGCCGCGTGCCGAGAAGTGATGAAATGATAAAAATAAATAAAAATATTTTTCCTTTTTTACCTTCATCACGACCAGTTTCATAAGTTACCATGAGCGTTGAATTCCTAATTTCCAGCTTTAATTTATCTGAACTTTCTTTCGCATCTTTTGCGAGAAGAATAACGGCATTTTCCCGAGCAGTTTTGATTCGTAATGTGAATTGTTCTTGCTTCACAGGAACTTGGGTACGCAATCTGTACGCCACTTTATATGTGCCATTCAGGACGAGACGCAGGGCATCTAGAAATTGAAAGAATACGATAACGATTGACCATGCTTACAGCTAGGGCTTAACCACGTCATCGAGGATCACAGGATTCGAGCAGCCTGTAGGAAGCAAGTTGAATGTCCGCAAATCTCAAACGTTTGGGTCTTGTTTTTGACATATACAGAAGAGCAAGCCCTGTACCTTACCTTCAGTACACGTGGTTCCATTGTATCCAGTCCATCTACAGTCACACGTGGGTGGGCTCACCCCAGAAGGTACACACACACCCTGGTTTTCACAAATTCCCGGGGGTTTATTCCTACGTCGCTTGTCACACAGGCTCAGGTTACACCTGCCTTGCGTGACATAGGATCTCAGAGTAGGAATATCATTCACTGGCATCAATGTAGTTTCATCAAGACCATATGTGATGTTTCTGACACATCCAAAAAAGAATCCCCTAAAAGAGTTTATGCAAATTAAACATCTATCTCACTTGCGTGCGATTGGATATACAGTGCCGACAGCAACAGAGAACGAGTTAATTCATGCATACTGCATGGTAGCTATATTAGTCCTGCTAAACTGTTCTCTCCAGAGGTCCAGCACGAGTCATCTCAGTGCTACTATAGGAGGAAACCGAACTAAATCTATTTATACTGGAGAGCTCTATATCAGTTCCAAATTTCCCAGAGGTCGAGTAAGGATTGATCCAGGGTTATTGTAAGGTTATTGATCCAGTGTTACTACAGGAGGAAATCTAAACTAACTTTCTTTATACTGGATAGCTCTATCAGTTCTAAATTGTTCTTCCTAGAGGTCCAGTAAGGATCATCTCTTATTGATCCAGTGTTACTACAGGAGGAAACCTAAACTAAACTAACTTTATTTATACTGGATAGCTCTATCAGTTCTAAACTGTTTTTCCTAGAGGTCCAGTAAGGATCATCTCTTATTGATCTAGTGTTACAACAGGAGGAAACCTAAATTAAACAACTGTGTACTAGAAAAACACGCATGCAAAAATCCCTCGCGGTTGTTTTCCAAACATTGTTTCAACATGAAGTATTCTTAATTACGCCAACACTGAAGCACAGTCGGCAGAGAAGGTCAGATCAGATATTTTTATAGATGTTCCTAAACTAAACTAACTGTATGATATATTTTGGATAGCTCACACTCAGCTCTAAAAACTGCTGGCAATCGTTACCTCGAACGGAAGTCACCCAAAAATAGCATGAAAGCCTTGCGTTCTGTTATGGAATTTGTTTCACTCAAACGACTATTTGGAAATCCTCCCAAGAGAAGATCACTTTTGAGAGTTGGTGAACTTGTCGCCAGGTCTGCCTTCAAATCTCCATCCAAGAATATCTTAAAGTGAGTCAGATTTCGTTCAATTCTCACGGAATGCCATTGAAAGTCATTGTACCGTATATTTGTAGTGAAATACCACCAGGACTTCATGTCTTTTATTGCGATCGAGAACTGTAGACGCCCAGAGACTATCGCCAACCTGTCAAGATAACGGTAGAAGATCTTAATTGAACTACATCAGTTCTGTCTGCTGGCATGAAAAACACTGGAACAACACTAAATATGATACAACGCATATTGTGTTTAATTCATATATGAATACGCTTATACGCAAGTCAATATGACGCAATTCTTTAGAGAATTCTCTCCAGAAAACGTAATCAAGCTTCAAAACTATAAAAATGTTCTGGGGGTGTTACCCCCCCCCCACCTATTTTCTTCACGAATTAACATTGGTAATTTTAACATTGGTGTTTAAATTCAAGTAAAATCCCTTGCCACCCGACATTATGCACTCCCAACTCGAGATGCTTAGAAAACTTCCTAAATACAGTCAATTCAAAAGTGCGAAAATCTGCCCGCCCCCACCCCTTGCCATCTTCTCGTTCCGGTCTCCCTGATCAAAAAACCTCTTTGCCGTGGAAATAAACTGTTGAGCAAAACGGAAGTTATATAAACACGAAAGCTGCAGAGCAGCTCAGGCAGGATGAATTAATCTCATGCATAAACTGGACCTTTAACAAATAGTTATTTTAAAGCGAAATAACTACAACAAATGATACAAACCTTATATAGTCCTTCCACCCGTTATCATCTTGATAAAGTATCAAGGCTTGCTCCACAAAAGTCTTGAATTCAAATGCAAATATTCCTTTGTTCAACAATTTCTTAAACGACATTGTAGGACCGGGAAAGGCGGAGGTTGTTTTCTTGAAAAACGTAAACGCATTTTCGTCTGCATTTGCAGAAACACATAGCGATTGTTTTGTTAAAGAAAAAAATATGAGCCATTGAAAGAGAACGCGTTCTCGCATAGTTAGTTTTTGCAGTAAACAACTTGCAACTTGCAAATGCACAAACGTTCACAAGCTCAAAAGTTTGCTAATGTTTATCAATGGCTCGCGGTGGCGCCTTTTCAATATTTAAGAGTTTCATAACCGCTGTTTGCGTCGCAGAGCAGCTGGTTCGAGACAAAGCCTTCATAAAGATTTATTAATTAAACATTACTAAATGTGTTTTTTCAAAACAAGCATTAGTAGTATAGATCCGTGAGATTGATTAAATAGTGGCATTCATATTATGATATCTGCGATAAGTTAGACTTAGGTGCATAAGGTTATTTAATTAAAATATCAGGAGTGAAAACATCAACATCATCATAATCAATAAGCATCATCAATCATCATAATCAATAAGCATAATCAATCATTATAATCAATAATCATCATCAATCATCATAACCAATAATGATCATCATCAATAATGACCATCAACAATTATTGACATGATAATAAAAATTATTTAAAAGAGCATTTTCATCGACAACAACAATACAACAACAGCTAAATCAACAAGCAACAACTAATATCAAAAGTACAATTAACAAGAGCGACAATAACAACAATAACAAGAACAACAAAAATACAAGAACAACCTTAACAGTATAAGCACGGAAATCTTACTCAAATAACAAAAGACGAAACACAACTTATGAACTTTTGATTTTGATTTATAGCGGTGTGACTGAAAATGGTCAAGCGACCGAAATCGTTTCAAATATGGACAAACTCTCACGAGTCTTGCGAGTATTAGACACAAAAATTGTAGACAAAACATCTTAATCTACGGTTTAATTACTATATTGCTCTGCAGGAAGCAACGTCATTTTAATATGAAGAAAAAATAAATACCTATATGATGCTTCTTTATTGAAGCACATTATGAAATAAAACAGTACTACGTGTAATATATAATTAAAAATCATAGCTTGTGGCATGTTATATCAACGGTCACACAATCTCCTGCAAGATAAAAAATTACTCCATTAGGCTTGCTGTCTGAAGACTTCAACATTATGAAAAGATTATCTTTATTATGAGGACTTTTTTTTAATTAAAAAATATTTTTCATTTTTCATGGAAATTCCAGCATAAAAAATCCTAACCATTCCCCTACCCTTCGAAACCTATATACCCATTTATATCCCAAATTATCCCTATTCATATCCCAAATTGTACCCTAGCTTTAACCCATACATGTTCCCTATATTTCCCACAACGTCAACATACCTCATTCATCGTCCTCTGTCTCCTGTTTAGTGATCGTCACTTCAGCAACTTTCACATTGGGATCTTGTTTACGTGCATCTTCTAACGCCTTCATGATCGCCTAGACAGTTCACAAATACATGGTAGATGTACATTATATCTGTCTCGATACTGACGATGCATATATATTAGTGGGGAGACAATTCCTGGTGAATGGCATGTGAAATGAGAGCTTCCACTTTGACTCTAAGGAGCGGTTGTTTGGCAGCCAATCAGCTTAACCCTAGGTTAAGCTAAAATTCAAAGCAAACTTCCTGACAGCTTGTCTATAAATTTGGAAAATTACAATCGACTGAGCTATCAAGCATAGAATCCAGTATAAATAGAAGTTAGTTTAGTTTAGGTTTCGTCCTGCAGTAACACTGCATCAATAAGAGATGGCCCTTACTGGACCTCTAAGCAGAACAGTTTAGAACTGATAGAGCTATCCAGTATAAATAAAGTTAGTTTAGCAAGGTTTAGGTTTCCTCCTGTAATAACACTGGATCAATAAGAGATGACTCTTACTGGACCTCTAGGGAGAACAGTTTAGAACTGATAGAGCTATCCAGTATAAATAAAGTTAGTTTAGCAAGGTTTCCTCCTGTAATAACACTGGATCAATAAGAGATGACTCTTACTGGACCTCTAGGGAGAACAGTTTAGAACTGATAGAGCTATCCAGTATAAATAAAGTTAGTTTAGTTTAGGTTTCCTCCTGTAGTAACACTGGATCAAAAAGAGATGATCCTTACTGGACCTCTAGGAAGAACGACTGATTGAGTTATATCAGCTATAAATAAAGTTAGTGCTGAATACTCTAAGGATTATATCACAGCGGAAAAAACGCACGAGTATATCAAAATCAGTAAAATATGACTTACAGCATCAGCATCAGGCCTTACTGGACCTCTAGGAAGAACGACTGATTGAGTTATATCAGCTATAAATAAAGTTAGTGCTGAATACTCTAAGGATTATATCACAGCGGAAAAAACGCACGAGTATATCAAAATCAGTAAAATATGACTTACAGCATCAGCATCAGGATCTCCTGTTTCGACAATGAAAGATTGTCCTGACTGGACGAACTGTTTACTGGTCACCACTTGTTCAACTTTCTGTACCCTTTCCACTCGTTGATAACTGCTGTTTGTCACAGTCTGTAATGAAATATTTGAGAACTATTAAGAGGACGAACAATATTTTATCCCAGGTACAAATTGGGTATAAATTTTGGTTAGATTTGGTTGAGAATTGGACGAGAAATTAGCAAACGTTTGTCTTGCTTTGTCGGGTAGAATAATTAATAAACTTATTATTAGCATGACAAAATTACTGGATGCTGATTGATTGAGAATTTTGTATCTACTGCAGTACAATTAATGATTTTCTCAAAACAAACAAAATGGCGGAAAGGTATTTTAAACACAATTGCGAAATGAAATTGCCGTGGAGAACTAGATGAAAATACGAACAAAAGCACCAAATTTTGCTTGAACAAAAGAACTAAATGAAAATACAAACAAAAGCACTGGCAGGACTGATGGGCTTTGGCGAGAGAATACGATGTTGACATTGAGAAGTACGTGTCAAATTTTATCATGCTAATAATAAACAAGTAATCATGCGATGTTGCTCGTACAATTAGGGATTAATAGTACTCGTGATGTTTGGAAATTTGCCAGATTGGACTCGCCCCGGCGGCTCGTCCAATTTTGGCAAAATTTCCAAACATCACTCGTACTATTAATCCCTAATTGTACTCGCCATCGCATGATTGCCTATACTAAGTGCCAGCCCATCGTATATAATTTATGCTTTTAAGGCTAATGCTCATTATGCTTTTAAGGTTTGCAAAGGACAACCTTATTTGAACTAGCTGTTTTTGGAGTTCATGGTCACAGTGTTATACTTACCGATGTTTCCGCACCAGACATATTCATAATCTCAGCCAGTTCTTCAGCGGTCAGTGGTTCACCGTCACCCTCAATAGTGATGGTCTTGGTGACAACCTGAGCAGGAGTCGAAGTATGACGTACCACATGCGTAGTTTTGGTCGTCTGGGAGACTGGGGTCGTGTCAATCTTCAGTCTTCTTGTTACGACCACAGGATCACCTAGTCGCGAGAAATTAAACAAAATCTTGAGTGTTTCGTAGAGGGAAATTTCCAGCAAAACTTTGGATATTTATTCAAGGCCCAGTGTTTCTTGTAGTATTAGAGACCTTACGATTTTAGGACGGCAACGCGATGGCAACGGCTACCAATACAGTAGATCATCGAAAAGAATTGAAAAATTACAATATATGAATACTTTAGACATTGTCCTTCGCTCTGTTTACAACGCGAAATCACAGATTTTTACGTCTTGATACAACGGCTGCATTTCAAGCCGCAACAAGTGCAACTTCAAAGTGGATTCAGCAGAACTCTTCCCAACCATCAAACCCATGTCTTCAACTTCTAAAACTGTATTAACTTCATACGATTGATAATATACGACGAATTATCTTTACTACCATTTATTTGAAGGAGTTTGTTTTGGCCGTCGTCGTCGCGTTGCCGTCCTAAAATCGTAAGGACTCTAACAAAGGTCTAACAACTCAATAATTGTTGGATCTTATTAATAAAGAACTCTACAAAACTGACAGAGCTATCCAGTGTTAATATGTACACCAAACCCCGTTTGAGAATTAGTTCTGTCAAATGAGATGCCCCAAATGCTGATATGTCCCCATGCTCCTTACTTTGGCTCACCTTAGTATATATGTACAAGAACTTGTGGTTCTGTAGCTCAGTTGGTTGAGCCTGGTTTCCGTTTGGTCGCAACGGTCGTAAAGATTGGGTCACGATCTTTCTCAGCCGAAATACAACATTTTACAACTGAAAATACGCGGAGTGATTATAACTAGAGAATACTTATGATTTATATGTGGTTTACAGGTATAAACTATTATAAACTGGCCGTTGAGAAAGATCGTGACTCTATTTTTACCACCATATGGAAACCAGGCATTAGATCGCTGAACCGGAATCGCAGGGCGCTGGTTCGACTACTGTCAGATGGCCTAGGGTTCTGTTCCTGGTTAAAAGTGAATAAAATTGACACCACTAATTTCGAGTCACCCACCTGTCATCTGGTAGGTTGTAACATCACTGGGGGTGTTCGGTTCATAAATAACAGTTCTCGTCTCGACATTGGGTATTTCAGGTGGGGGTAGGTCTGTTCCTTCTGGAGGGGGAAATACGTCATCAGGGGTCGACTCTACTGTACTGATTGTAGTGGATTTCAGCATTGTGTCCAAAGATGCCTGCAAGCTTGGATCGTGCGTTGAACGACGTTTGATTTCCGTTTCTTGATTTCGGATTTGATCGCGGACAAAACCACGTTCGCCTTGCTCGAAGTCTAAGTTGAGATCGCTAAAATTGGAAAGTATTGCTCATTGAGAAGTGGTTAAACTTTACTACTCAGTGTACAAATGTGGACAAGATCCAGCAAGGTATAGCAAGGGAAGGGGGGAGGGGGTGTAAAATTGCAGTAAGGAGGGCCCAAATATAGTCAAGCCCTTTCAAGTATAGACCTGAAAATTCTTGATCTCCCCAAATCTACAACTCGTGACCTTCCCATGAGAACGTCTTTCGAAAACTGGTGAAAATTCAAGTTCAGCCAATTAGAGAAGTAGAATTCGAGACAGAGTCCCCAAAGCAAATCCACACTTGTGTAAATTTGTTCCCATTGTGCGTAAAAGTTGTGACTGTTCCTGAACATGGGCCCCAAAAATTAAGCGTATTAGGACATCCAATGATGGAAGTCCAAAATATTTTAATCTTTTCCGTAAATTCGCCAACCCTCCCCTAAGCTCACCAACCCTGCCCAACAGCCATCCCCCAATGATGAATGACTTTTTCCGTAAGACAATTAAAGATAAAATAAAGCGATGCAAGTCAAACAAGACTAGGCGTGACGCGACAAGGAAAACAGTGTGTTACACGAGTAGTATGCATGTAGTACTTACGTTTTAAGAGAGTATCTGATTTCTGGAGTGTTATCTCTGTTATATCGCACATCATCTTGAAGTGTACTTGGGTTGATGTACACAGTACTAGAAATCAAAACCACTTTCATTTTAAAATATCTAAGATAAAAATCTTTCGAGGCCTTAGCGAGTACCTCTTTTAAATAAGAGCACTAGCCTGGGAATGTGTATGTGTCCAACGACAACTTAAAAAATATCAATCGTATTAATACGAGAAGGTTTGCGGGACTGGTGGAGATTGTCCAAGAATAAATTGATTAAATTTTGGTTAAATTTGGATGAGAAAAAGTTGTCTTGCTTTTTTGGACAGAGTAATGTGCAATGATAACCTATGCGCGATACATGATAATTTATGCACGAGAAAAATGATGTCTGAAGATGATGTCTGAGAGAAAATGATGTCTGAAGTTCAGTATGTTTTGCTTGTATTACTGTGTAAATATGGCGCCAACTTTACAGCATCAATGATAATTGTATTTAAGTTGACCATATTTAACTACTATGAGGTTGCTAACTGTGCAAACTACAAAATAAAGTTAAAACAAACTAAGTAATTCTGAGAGGAACGCCAAAAAGATTTTAGGTTTGGAACACTTTTCATTGCAAATACGTGACATTGAAAACAAATTGCCTCTTAAAAGAAATCAACAAATATTTTACCATTTCAGATGAATGATTCCTACCTCGTTGTCTCGTGCTTTGTCACAGTTTCAGTGGTGACATCCTTGAGTTCAGTATTCTGTTGTACATTTCCATCGTCAGTGACACGTGAGAAGCTCGCTTTCTCCGCTACGGTGTCTTCTAAATCAAGAGTCTTACGATGCGCTTTCTTTACGTCCTCAGTCTCAGGGGTAGCCACTGCAAACGGCAACATAACAAGCTCCTCTTCAAGCTGAAACAAAATGAAAGATGTTATTACACAAACATTTGTTCCAGGCCAAAAAGAAAAACTTCCTGTGTAAGGGACTGGTCATAAAGTAACTGCTAGGATGGGCCACAAAAATAAGGATGGGCCATGAAATTATTTTCATCAGTTTTGGTGGGCCATCAATTTTTTTTGTGCAAATGGATGGGCCATGAAACACATATAGCTTGTTTGCACTCAATACATACTATAACTACTGCACAAGTTATGAGAAAGTGACACAGTGCATGGTTTGATCAAAGTGACTGCTATACTGCACATATTCATGTATAGCAGGATGGGTCGTGAAATTTTTCCAATGACCTACGATGGGCTTTGAATTTTTTTCTAGGTTCTCAGGATGGGCCACCGGGGTTTTTTTTTGGAAAACCTATTTTTCCCTCCGGCCCACCCTAGCAGTTACTTTATGACCGGTCCTTAAGTCATATACAAATCTTCCTGCAAATGTAATTTCACAGAACGTGTGTCATGTTGTGAAGACAAATGGATAAATTATTTGGTATTTCAGTATATAAGATGACAAACATTTCCTTCCAGACATTCGAAAATCGGCAACATGACAAGCTCCTCCTCACGCTAAAACAAAAAAGATATGAATACACCAACTTTTGTTCCAGTCAAAGTAGAAAAAATCCTGTGTAAGTCAAATACAAAACGTCCTGCAAATGTCATTTCACAGAACGTACATATCACGTTGTGATAACAACGGCACAAGACAAATGGATAAACTATTTGGTATTCCAGAAAATATGATGACATACATTTCCGTACAGATATAAGAAAATTTCCTACGAAGATATTTTGTTAAAAACATCCTGGCTGCCGGCGCTGTCGGACATTTTTCAGCGCTGCTTTTGTGGATGAAGAAATGTGCCGAGCCGATGTAGTCATTAAATTCGGGCGCCGAGGTTTAGAATTAGCGAAAACATTTGACAAACATGCAGGTATTGCTTAAGATAAAACAAAACAACATCTTACTTCTTTGTCTTTTTTCATTTGTTCTTCAATTTCTTTTCTTTTCCTTTCCTCCTCTTCTTCCTTTTGTTTCCGTTCTAATTCCAGTGCTTCTCTTTCCAGTTGTTCTAATTCCAATCTCTCTCGTTCTAACCGCTCCTCTTCTTCTTCTAGTTCCTTCTGCCTCTTTAATTCCTCTTGTCGTATCCTTTCTTCTTCAATCCTTCTCTCCTCTTCAAGTCTCAATCTTTCCTCTTCTTGTCTTCGTAATTCCTCCTGTTCTTCTTGTCGTTTCTTTTCAGCCTCGTCTTCCTTCCTGCGCCGTTCAGCGGCTGCCATGCTCGGCCTGATCACCAACTTTATTCTGGGGTGGAGGAAAACCTGTCGCGAAAACGTCTCTTCTTTCACGACTTCATCGTATACTGGTGTTCCTGGGAAAGAAACAGTGCTTCAGATTTTCATCATTTCAGGCTAAACCATTGGAACTACTTTTATTCATAGTGGATCTATCAGTTTTGAATCGTTTTTCCTAGAGGTCCAGTAAGGATCATCTCTTATTGATCCAGTGTTACTACAGGAGGAAACCTAAACTAAACTAACTTTATTTATGCTGGATAGCTCTATCAGTTCTAAACTATTCTTCCTAGAGGTCCAGTAAGGATCATCTATTATTGATCCAGTGTTACTACAGGAGGAAACCTAAATCCAGTGTAAATAAAGGAGAGAACCTAAACTAACTTCATTTATACTGGATAGCTCTATCAGTTCTAAACTATTCTCCCTAGAAGTCCAGTAAGGATCATCTCTTATTGATCCAGTGTTACTACACGAGGAAAATAAAATAATTTTTGTTAACTACACGAGGAAAATAAAATAATTTTAATAAAGGAGAGAACCTAAACTAACTTCATTTATACTGGATAGCTCTATCAGTTCTAAACTATTCTCCCTAGAAGTCCAGTAAGGATCATCTCTTATTGATCCAGTGTTACTACACGAGGAAAATAAAATAATTTTTGTTACACTGAATAGCTATACGAGTTTTAAACTGTTTTCCTAGAACTTCGGTAAAGACACTATCAAAGTTTCTGTGATCACAGTAGGAATTTTTCCTACCTTTGACTGCTTGATGAGTGATTACGTAAGCCACAGAACCGACGTCTTCATTTTCCTTCACGTGTATAACATTGTCTTCGTCACAAGATAACTGACGTAGTTCGTCGTGATCAACTTCGTCACCAATAGCAACCGTTATGACCTTCACTCCATTCTTCTGAAGAGCCTTCGCCCCAGTCTTCAGTTCTCCAGCTCGGCCACCAAGTGGACCGTTTATCATTACGATCAACACCTTATGCGAATTTGGTCGGCTTTCGTTCGTGAATAGTTCGTTCGCCTTTCGTAGACCTTCGGCCATCGAGGTGCCGTCGCCATTTCGTTGGATTGCCCATATTTTATCTTTCACCTTTTCCTTATCGTCTATATCTTTGAATCTAAAACAGACGGACAAATGTTCACTCGCAATTCTCGGAATACAACGTTAATTGAGTCACGATCTTTCTCATCAGCCGAAATACAACATTTTAGAACTGAAAATACGCGGAGTGATTATAACTAGAGAATACTTATGATTTATATGTGGTTTACAGGTATAAACAATTATAAACTGACCGTTGAGAAAGATCGTGACTCTATTTTTACCACCATTACTATCATATGGAAACCAGGCTTAAAAACATAACCGTCACGACACGTTTTTAGCCTGTCGCAACTGTCGTGGAGATACACACGTAAAAATCTCACAACTTGTCAACAAGATGTGTTCGCAACAGGCTTGTAGCAAGCTTGTCAACAAGTTGTAACAATGCTGTTATTTTATCAAGTTGCTACAAGGTTGTCACTCGCGACGATATGGTTTGCCCGAAAACTAACCTGAAATGCACAGTCAGTGGGTCGACATATTGAATCATGGCGTACTCCATGTTGCCATGTTTAGAAGAATCGACAAAACCGTTCACGAAGTCTTTTTCTTTTTCAAACATTTCGTCGCCATGATGACCGGATGCTCCGAGCGCGAAGACAACATCAACATCAGTCACAGGACGTTCTACAGAAGGGAAATTAAATGTCAGGATCTTCATGCGAGATTCTGGGGTCGGTTGTTCAAAGGTGGATTAGCGCTAACCCTGGGTTAAAATTTAACCTGCTGTTTTAGTTTGTGTATTTCTGCACGTCTGTTTATTTCAAAACTTCAGAGAAGTAAACTCCTATCGATCTAGACAAGATCTCTGATGAAATATTTCCAAATTTATGGACAAGCTGTGAGGAAGTTTGCTTTGAATTTTAAGTTAACCTAGGGTTAAACTAACTCAGCTTTGAACAACCGGTCACAGCTGCAGTACAACATGGAGTTGTTATGTGTCGACCTCTAAGACCATTCTATGTAGTATGTATACACTGTAAGAATACATTTTTGTAAACATTGGGCATCTACAGTATAAAGCTCGATAAATACGAGGTGTTATTTGGATAAGAATTTCGAGCTAAACAGCAAGTGTGAGAAAAGTAAAAACAAAGTAAAACAAGATCCAACTCTAGGTCCTCTGGCAGGAATCAAACCTGTGGCCCTGTGATTCCAGTGCAGTGCTGTAACCAACTGAGCTACAGAGGCCAGTTGACCAGCTCTAACCACAAGTTCTTGTATAGAGCTCTGCACCAGAATCTTGATATCCAGACAAGATCCATGTACCTTCAATGTTAACTCGCACGATGCTTGCAAACAACGTTTCATGATCATCATCCGGCTGTGTTCTAACAATCGACTCTTCATTTGAAGTTACTTCAAGTAGTTCCTCGACGCTCACGTCATCACCAATGGCAACCACAATCAACTTCACGTTCAGGTCAGTCAGGTTTTGAGCGTGTTTTTTCAACTCATTCGCTCGAGCATTGGACTTGCCGTTCGTGAACACAATAAGAACCTTTCTGGCGGAGTGTCGGCCATGTTTTTTAAACAGCTCGCATGATTGTTCTAACGCCTTGTCAAGAGCTTTGCCTATACAATGAAAACATATAACAATGACATCCAATACCATAGATAGATAGATAGATAAATTGTTTGTTTAATAAGATTAACACATAGCAGCCAAGAGGCTGAATTGCGTGCTAAATTTTACAAGAGAAATGATTAAATTAGTTATTCTATATTTACAGAAGTTTAAAATTACATTACAATTTATAATTCTATATTACAGAAGTTTAAAGTTACATTACAAATTAGCTATAAAACTAGTAAGTTTCTAAAAAAATGTTAGCCAGTCTAAAACTGAACATCAGAATCGATTGTCAGTTAATATTATTGATATGCCTTGCAGATGAAGGGAAAAAACTGTTTCTAAATCTGTTCGTTTTGGTCTGAGGAACAACAAAAGACCTTGAGTGTCTAAGGTCGTAATTTGGAAAGTATCTAGATGGTACATGATTATGCATATTAGCTACTGGTGTTGTGGTGATTTCATTAAACAGTTTCTCGCATGCATCCACACGCCTGTCACTTAATGGTTTGATGCCTGATTTTTGTAAACAATCCGCATAACCTGTCAGTGGATAGATGATTGATAAAACACGCTTTTGAACCCGTTCCAGGGCATTAGATAAGTAGGAAGGAAGGGCGAAGTGGAAAACTTGACAGCTGAATTCCATGACTGGTCTGACGCAGGTAGTGTAAAAATTTATTATGTCAGCTTCAGGTACATGAGCACGTTTCAACTGAATAATAAAATAAATCTGTTTGTTCGCCTTCTTAACTATGTTAGTTATGTGTTGGTTCCATTTTAGATCTTTAGAAATTGTCAAACCTAGGATTCTTGCGTGGTTCACTGTCTCGATTTGGCCTGAGATGATCTTAAGGCGCGGAAATTCTTTCTCAGGTTTTGTGGGCAATGAGTGGGAAGGGCAATGAATTTTGTGGGCAATGAGTGGCAAGGGCAACGAATTTCTCTCGCATGAGAAAACTGACCAGCAGTAACTTTTCTTCTAACTTTTGCCAGTTATAACTGATTAGGTCACATCGATATTCTGCCTTCAAATTGGCTCATTGAATTACACTGCCAAATGCACTAATATGGGCATGAAATGTTTAGATCCATCTAAGTGACTACTCATAAGGCCCATCTCGACTCAAGAAATATGTCCACGGACAGAAAATTTTCCGAAAATATCAAAGGCCCATTTCCACTGAATATCAGTCAAAATATCATTGTTAAAAGTTGAAAACTGTTTTCCGACGGAAAATTTGTGTCGGCCAATCACATTTTACAAAATTATCTTTCTTTCCTTAGTGGAACCATCCTACACATTACCTTCTCCGCTCCTGTGGATGGTATTCACAAATTCCTTCATATTCGCCTTGCCATGTACGTCATCAAATTTCGCCTTCACTGAAGCTTTGGTGCCGTATTCCACGACGCCGTACCGATAGTCTCCGAACTCGAACGAGTCAATAAATGAGCCGATCATCTCCTTCTCCTTGAGGTGAATCATGTCAGCGGAGTTGCCCATTGCGCCAAACGCAAAGACGATGTCGAACTTTGTTTTACACGGTTCTACGCGAACGATAAAAAATGACATTGGTTTGTTTGCAGCATGAAGTATTTCGGTTTGTTTTACATGTAAACACTTCAGAAAAATTCATGAGTCACAACTTCGGGAGGTTCTTGTTGTGATAACTGTGGCAACAAAGCCCCAGTTACCCCCAAAGGTCCTCAAAGTTACCCCGAAAGATCCCTCATAGGTAAATTACACCCAAAGACCCTCGATTACCACCAAAGATCCTCAGTTACACCCAAAGGTCCTTAATTACTCCCATGATCCCCAGTTACCCACATGATCCCCACAGTTACCCCCAAAGATCCCCAGTTAGTACAAAGATCATCCCCATGCTCCCAAGATCGTAGAATTGTTACCTTGTACTTGACGTGCAACGGCAAAAACTGCGGACTCGGGTTCCTCGAGCGTGTCCACCTTCACAATAGCTTCTTCATCCGGGTTAATATGACGTAATTCCTCCTCGTTGACGTCATCTCCAACAGCAACTGTGACGACTTTTACATTTGAATCCTCCAATAACGTCGCGCACTTTTTCAGATGACTTGGATTCGCGCCACTTTTACCGTTTGCGAATAATATCACCCGCTTCTTCGCACCATGTCGACCATGAGTTTCGAACAAGTTCACCGACTGTTCCAAAGCCTGAAACAACAATTTAAATTACTATTTATACTTGACTATACCACTGAACTCTCTATTTATCTGAAGCAAGAACGTATCGCTAATCAAGTTCATAAAAGCATAATACTAGTCTTTGAATCAAAGACAGAACACGAAATTTTTGCACATTCCTTCCCTTGTGAAACCGTGTAGACAAAAGCAATTAACCTTTCTCACGATGACGAATATCCGCCATTTTTGGGTGGCATCTATTCTAATTCTCGCTAACCGATGCAGACAATTAAAACAATGTGAAAAGCAATTTTAATTTCAAAATAAACTAACCATTTACAAAGCAAATTTACCATCATTCGTCCAAAAAATTATAAAAAGTCGCTGTTATGTGGACTTATCTCGCAAGCTTCGGCTGAAATGCCACCCAAAATTGGCGGCGTGAAAAAGGCTAATTGAAAGGGGTTGGCACTGGACGTCATTCCCGCCATCTTTGGTTTCACTTTTTCGACGCGAGTTTAATTCCTTTAAGACTGTCTCAAATGATTTAAGAATTAAAATTAAGACTACAGTTAGGGCTATGGTTACCACTGAGGGCTTGGAGTTGGCATTAAGGTAGTGGACTTGACGGACAAACCTTGTCTACAGCTTTTCCTTCTCCAGGTCGCTCGAGAGTTTCAATTTGGTCCAACAATACAGCGCGTTGTTTATTGTCACCGAATTTCGAGCGGACAATGGCTTTAGGGCCGTAGTCAACCAAGCTGTACACGGTGTAGGGAACTTTGTTGGCTTCGATGAATTTAGAAATGATTTGTTTGTTTTTGTTGTAGACTGTGTCAGCACCTTCGCCTGCAGCGCCGAGAACAAATACGATATCCATTGGTTCAGTGGATTTAGCTGCAACGATAAAATTATTACGTAAAACAACAACAACAATAATAACAACAACGACAACGGAACAGCGACAGTAGCCTCAATAACAACATAACAACAACGACACAACAACAACAACAACAACAACGACAACAACAACAACAAACTAACCTTCCTCTAATTCACCAACAATGGAATACACCACAGCCCTTGGGTTCTGTTCTGGTGCGATGTTAATTATTGGATGACTTCCGCACGTGACATACTGACATTCGTCGTCATCAACGTCATCGCCAATAGCAACCACAATGATGTCAACATTGGCCTTTGTCAGTCGCTCGGAATTTTGTTTCAATTCAGGGCCCTGGGTAAAATAGAAAAATAAATCATGTACTGAAGTAGTTTTGCGCTAAAATTGAAATACACTGAATACAGAAGGTTATGTTATACAAGATAATAAATTGAGTTCTGAAATCAAATCATGACGATGAAGGAGCTTTTATATCTGGTACAACATCCTGCTGATTTCCATAAACTTTTCTATGAGATTATTGGAGAATATGGATTTTTTCATGAAGACGAATCACAAGCTGCATATAGCATTGGCATCAGTGTTGTACTGTATGAGATGTTAAACTATTTCAATATAATAAATAGTCCATCTCCAAATCTCGATACAACGAACACAACTATAAAACTATTGCTCAGTATGAACTGGTTGAAGAATAAGATATATTTTTAAAGAAAGTTGTACAAGTTTTCTATCCTAAACTTCATTAAATGTTAAAGTATAAAATCAATAAAAACTTCTAAACAGCAGAGACAGAGTCGACAGACATCGCGGTCCTAAGGCAAGTGCTGTGGTTAAATGAAAGTGCTACTGAATGTTAGCATTACCTGGGCTCCAGACTTGCCATTGGTGAACACGACCAGAACGCGCCGGGAGTTGGCACGAGCTTGATTTTCAAACATATTGGCGGCGACCTCCAACGCGTGATCAAGACCAGTAGCATCACCACTTCGTCGTACCAAGTTCAAGTGACGTTTTAAACGCACGTGATCACGGTATTGACCAATCATAGAGCAGATCTTCGCACGTGGTCCGATCTCAATGACGCCATAGTTGGTATCACGTTTCTGAATGGAATCAATGAAAGAGCCGATGAGCTGTTTCTCTTTTTCAAATATTTCTTCCCCTGTTTCTCCAAATGATCCAAATGCGAACACGATATCGAGGAATTCGTCTTGCTTTTCTACAAAGAAAAGGGTCGAGAAAAAATTCATAAATACATGTATCTATAATCAGTGGTGGACACTTCACGAAATGTTGGGGATTTTCAACATGTCAGTGCCAAAGGGGTTTCGGTGTCCGTTTAAGGCTCTAAGTTATGCGAATCTTTCAGAACATGGGTCACTTGATGAAATGAATAAAGAGACCCAATTTTTGCCATTTGACTAACATTATATACTTTTCTAAGATAATCAATTAATTATGTCGATTAGCGTTGTTGTTTAATGTACAGTTAGAACTATCAATTCTGATAGTTTAAATATTTTTATCAGTAGAGTTGTAATGAATCCTACACAGAACAAAACAGATTGTATAAAATGCGTATGTTGTGGCATCATTGGCATACACTGTACAGAATGATATATTGCTTGCTATATTGCTAACTTTAGCTTAATAAGTTCTGTTTAATAGTCATTATTTAATATGACAATTAAGTTATATGTGATTGCATGCTTGTCACATGCTCCTAAACAATGCTTGTGAATTGTGATATTTGGTACCAGACTTTTATAGATCTTTCACTGTCCACAATACTTTCTGTTTAAAGATGTTCGATGTTTGTTATTTTTTCCTTGGGCTATAATATTGTGAATATCATAACCCAAGGAAAAATTAACCTCCGTCATACCTCCAACAATCCAAGCAGAATTACTGATAACAGTCTGTGGTTCTTCGTACGGCTGAACTCTCAACAAGGGCAGTTCATTGCTTGTTACTTCAAGTAATTCGTCTTCATTCACGTCGTTGCCAACGGCAACTACCTGAACTTTGACGCCAGCTTCAGCCAAACTTTGCGCGTGTTTCTTGAGGTCCTGGGTTCTAGCATTCGATTTGGCGTTCGTGAGAACAATGAGTACCCGGTTGGATGCAGGTCGCGCCTCGTTGTGGAAGATCTAAATACGATAGACAACGGGATTACACTTTTTATAAATGTAGGATGGGAATAAGCAATTCAAAACCAGCGATACACAAAATCTCAAGATATGTAGTACAGTATATAGAGTTCACTGTTCAAAAACACATTCCATTATCTGTATCTTGTAAATTCAAGAGTCACTCCCCCAATGAGAAACGAAAGCAACTTTACCTGAACAGCCTGTTCCAAGGCTTTATCAAGGCATTTCCCGTCACCAGTCCTCTGTATGGCAGACACAGACGCTTTCAATTTTCCAGCATCCATTTCGTCGCCAAGTTTAGATTTCACCGAAGCTTTGTTTCCAAACTCTATGACGGCAAACTGGGCGTCGTTGTCCTTGAGGTTGTCGATAAATGAGTTCACAATTTCCTTTTCCTTGTCAAATACTTCATTCGCATCTCGACCAGCCGCACCCACGGCAAATACGATATCAAGCTTCATCTTTGGACCAACAACGGGAACTGTTTGAGAAACAAGAGTTTAGGACAATTTTAGTATTAAAACAAGACGTCGGGTAGGCGTTTACTTCATGGGTAGATTTACTGGGGGTGGGGTAGGGGGGTTAAACCCCCCCACCCCCTAGAATCTCTCTAACTCCTCTAATAAAGTGTTCAGCCCCACCAAAATTTCGCTTCACACCTCTTATTTTGTGTGAAAGGCTTTAACCCAAACGCCTAACCCCTGCTGAACCTCACTGAGTGGTGCCGCTTGCACCCCACCAGAAATTTTTCTATCCCTCCTTTTATATAAATGAAAATCCGCTCTTGGTTACTTGGGCGACTCATATGCCTCAAAGCATCATGGGGGGACAAAACGCAACACCAGAGAAAAAAAAACAAAGCGAATTTATGACTTGGTCGCCCAAGTAATAATTTTATACTAGTCTATGCCTCGGTGGCACGACGTTTAGTACATATGCTTTTAATCTCCGCTCAATTCCTGAAGTAAACACTTGCTCCAGACTATATTGACAGTAGATATATTGATATATTGATATATTGACAATAGCCATAAACTGGTGATAAGCTACAGTGGCAGGACTTACCTGTGCCTTGGCCCAGTTCAGGTTCTGTTGCCAGAACATCAGAGGCCACGCTCTTCACAATCACATTCACGTCATCGTGTGTCTGTGTCCTAACCACAGGCTCCCCATGAATATTACTCAACTCTTCTTCGCTGACGTCAGTACCAATAGCGACCACGACGACCTTCACCCCAGACTCCTGTAGCTCGCGCGAATGTTTTTGAAGATCTTGTGTGCGTGCTTTCGACTGTGCGTTCGTGAACACGACCAGAACACGCTTGGCGTTAACGCGACCGCTGTTCTCAAACACTCCAGCCGCTCTCTGCAAAGCTTTATCTAGTCCCAGACCCTCTCCAATTCTCCTAACCGAGTCAACAAATTCCTTGAAATCGTATTTCTCTTTGTATTCGTTAAAGTCTGCTTGTAGTGTAGCGTTCTCGGCATACTCAATCAAAGCGTACCGCACGTTAGCTGTGTCCACAGAGTTTACAAAAGCATACACCATCTCTTTTTCTTTTTCAAACACCATTTCAGCCTCGACGCCCGCAGAACCGACAGCAAACATGATGTCGATTGCCTCACCAGTCAATTCTACAGGAAAACGAAGTATAAAAGTTTACAGAGAAATAACAAACCATCTTTTTTCAACAATATATAACTGGGTGGCACTTGGAGACAGCGAATTAATACGAATAATACCACTTTATTTACTGAGGATAACACATAACAGTTTACAATGAAAAACCTGTGGCACTTCATATTATGTTATTTAATTAAGTATCAAGCAAAAATTATACAATGGACTAATCACGCATCCATTTTACTCTGCAATTTGTCACGAGGCAAATGGTGTCTCCAACAAAATACATGTGCAGACAACATGAAACTTTAGACTGCAGAAAATTGCACAAGCAGTTATCAAACTCATGTCACAGAAGTGGTATAAGACATTTGTGACAACTGAACGTAAATTTTGTGACGTTTTTGGGTAAGAACATTTTTTTGAGGTTGGGTAAAAAATTTTTTTAACTTTTTAATGGTTGGATCAGCAAAAATTGTATCAAGAAAAACATTTCTCTTCGGTGTCACCCCCCCCCCATAAATAATGACCCGTCCCCAATAACTCGTCAACTCACCTCCACTGACAACATCATCAGAGATGAGTTGTATAACGGCTGCACTATCCCCAGTCAATGGTGAATAAATGACGTGTTCATCGCTGGATATTTCTTTCAATTGGTTCTCGTCGACATTGTTGCCAACAGCAACTGCAACGATCTTAACTCCGACATCTTGTAGTGCTTTGGCGCATGCTCGTAGTTCGTACACGCCAACATTAGCCTTGCCACTTGTGAACACGATGAGCACTTTCCTTGCTCCTCGACGACCGTTTTTCACGAGCAAGTCATAAGCGCCTGTTAATGCTTTGTCAATACCAACACCTTCGCCTCGCCTTTCAATTGCAGATACCTGAAACACACACATTTATATTCAGCAAAAATCTTTGGGTCCAGTTTCGTCCATTTTTCATTTCATTTCATACTCTATCGAGGTAAGACATCTTTACAAATATTCTTCCAGATGGCATTCATTAGTTAAGTTAAAATATTGTTATAATATACTGGAAGAGCATTGGACTAGTATCCCAAAGGTGGCTGGTTCGATTCCCACCGTGGTCAAACAAACTTTTCAGCTTGCCCGGTGTGGATGTACACTCAGAGAAACATAACAAGCATCATACTCACCTGAGTATATAACACCAACACACACAAAAAGTATGTATATACAATATTGTAAATCTATACCTTTACATATAATATATGGAAAAGGTATAGGTTACCATTGGTATAGATTGGAAACTTTTAAATCCGTAATTGATGATCTTGTTGGGACATTATGCGCGTCTTTTACAAATTCAAAGAGAAAGGTATTACGCCAGCTACTCAAATCAAACGAGGAAGACACTTTTTTCTGTAGGTTTGGACGAAGCAACTCTGTATCCTCGAAAATATCCGATTATGTCAAATACCAGCATCACTGGGTTACGGTAAACTATAAAGTGATATTTGTCACTGCAAGTTCAAGTTGTGTATATAGCTGCAACAGAAATAGAAAACACAGCAATGCAACACATATTTACCTGCGCTTTGAGTCGCTCTTTACGACTGAACTGTCCAAACGTGGCATGTACTCTCGCCTCGGAGCTGTACTCAATCACGCCATACTGAGTGTCATGAACTTTGAGTGAGTCGATGAAAATATTAATCATCTCTTTCTCTTTCTTAAATACAGCATCAGCTTCTGAACCTGACGCGCCAAATGCAAACGCGATGTCCAATGCGTCTTCCGCGGCATCTAAGAATAGCAAGTTCAATGTTAGAAATGGGATTATCACTTGAACTATTCCACGCAGTGATTAAGTTGTTTTTATCAACGTATTTTATTCTGGTGTTTCTATGTTTTCCCCCAAAACGAGTGGTGTTTTGGGGTGTCGTTAAAGAAGGAAGTCAGTCGTTTATTTAATTTTATTGTATTTTTAAATTTTTTTTATTATTTTGTTTTACTTTATATTATTAAATTTTATTTTGTTTTACTTTATTTTATTAAATTTTATTCTGCTTTACTTTATTTTATTAAATTTTATTTTATTTTATTAAGCTTTCAATGTACAAAGTTTGAAAAATATAAAAATATAGATGTAAAGTTTATGTACAATGGAGTAAATTTACAACAGGCTGGTTGGCTTACACTTTGATAAAAGTCTCAAGCTTTGATAAGCCAACTTTTGAAGTAAGCAGCTTGTGCTCACTGTCATTGTAATCAAAGACAGGTCGATACTAAATGTCTTGGATTATATCTGAGATTATATCAGCGGATTCTTTAATGCCAGTACAATTTCGTCTTTACGAATAAATGCCGTATGACACAGTAAAACACCGCCTGTAAACTTTCCCCATTGCTTAAAAAATGTTCTTATATAAATTGTGTTTAATATGAAATTAGGCCACTCAGGTTCTTAAATGGGTTCTGAAGAGTAAGGGTTTCTGTTCGTAATTGTGGTCCATTACTTGTACAATTAATCTATATAAAACTGTTCGGAAAATGAGAGCAAATATACAAATGGTAATAATAAGAACTAAAATAATCGAATTCACTGTCTTATATGAAAGAGTTCCATTGGATATTTTAAGGGGGGATTTCTTATACGTCACACCTGATAGCATATCAAGTTGCTTAGCAACATTCTGCGCGATGACGTCACTGTCTTGATCTCTCTCCGCCAAGATGACACCAGCATTAGCCACAGCTTTCATTTCCTCCTCGCTTACGTCATCACCAAGTCCAACCGCCACAACTTTGACGTCATTGCCGTGCAAAGCACGTGCTTCCTTGGCCAGATCTACAATCTCGGCACCAGTCTTTCCATTGGCGAACACGACCACAGCCTTTCTCACGCCAGGGCGACCAGTTTGCTTGAGGACCTGGGGAAAAGATTGCATCCGTAATAAGTTTTTTTGTAAGTCGGAAAACAAGTTTACAAATCTGTTCACAAGCTGTCGACAGCTTGTGTTCGCACTGCTTGTTCCCAGTTGTTGTAACAAGTTTGGAACAAGCTGTTAACTACTTGTAACAAGCTTGATGGCATTAACAGACTTGTTGCAAGGTTGTTAGAACAAGCCTGATACAGTCATGATATAACAAGAATGTTACAAGGTTGACGACACAAAGTTGTAACAATATTGTTATATCATGACTGTATCCGACTTGTTGGAACAACCTTGCAACAAGTCTGATAATATCAACAAGGTTGTTACAAGTTGTTAACAGCTTGTTCCAAACTTAGGACAAGCGGTGCGAACACAACTTTGTTGACGGCTTGTTGGTAGACTTGCTACAAGATGTGAGATTTTTACGCGTGTAGGTGAAGTTCAAAGCAAATATCCCAACAGCTCGTTTACAAATTTGGAAATATTTCTTCACAAATCTTGTCTGGATCGATAGGAGTTTTCTTCTGTGAATTTTTGAAATAAACAGACGTGCAGAAATACATAAACTATGACAGCAGATTAAATTTTAACCCAGGGTTCGCGCTAATCCACCTTTGAATAACCGGCTCCTGTTGTCTACAGTTCCAGTGAAGTACTATCGCGAAAATCCCCTCACTACCTTATCCGTGTCATCCAGAGCTTTATCCAAAGCCTTCCCCTCTCCCAGTCTTTCCTGTTTATCCACACAAGACGTGAAATCATCTTTATCTTTGAACTGCCCAAGCTTCACTTCGACGTTCGATTCATTTTCGCCATAATTCACCACCGCCATCTGTGTGTCATTGCTCTTGAGCGAATCCACGAATGAATGAATGATTTCTTTTTGCTTCTCAAACGCAGCATCACCTTCGACGCCCGAGGCTCCCATCACAAATGTCACGTCCACGAGTTCTTTCGACGGAGCTGTGTTAACAAGATGGGAAAAAATTCTTTACAAGGCGTGAGTTATATCTACAATTGGCTAAATTGGGGAACTGGTATACAATAAGCAATACACCAGCTATGGCCTCAGAGTAACATCATAAGCATCCTATTCACCTGAGTACACTGCACTAATACACCAGCTATATTTCCTAACAAAGTTCCATAAACACAACTACAGTACTGTACTTCACAGGGTTGGGAAAAATACCATAGGACCATTGGTCCCAGAAAATTTTTTTCTCCGAAAATATTTAAATAAAAAGAAAAATTCTAACCAATAGAAAGATTAATGTTAGGTGTTCTGTAAGTATGACCTCAGAAATGTAATTATAATTTAATATAGACTATAGAATGATGTATTGTAACAAATGTTGTATGGCAAATGCATTTTCAGCCGATCTGGGACACTTGATTTTCAAAACTTTCTGGAGGAGCATGGATCCCCCTTTTCATGTTTTGTGATTGGCTTTCAGAAACGAAAACGATCATTGTTCGTGACTCGTTCTTTAGAAAGACGATTTCTATAGTTCTACTGTCTTTCATTGTTATAATCAACCAACCATGAGCCTGCATAATATACTATATAGATGATGATGACCCATCCAGTTTGACAACTATTTTTTCCACCCCTCCAGTGTACGATGCATTATCACTACGCTTCTTACCTTCGCTGACCTCATGTGCCAACAAATGTCCCAGAGGGGCAGCCTCGTCATAAGGCTGAGCTAAGATCTTATTGGTTGCAATGGAATTCAATTCCTCGTCATCAATATCATCACCAATACCGACAGCAATGATCTTCACGCCAGCATCGTGTAACGGCTTCGCTTCGTTGGTGAGCTCTGCAAGGCGAGCACTCGACTTACCATTGGCGAAAATCACCAACGCTTTCCTTGCGTCGCTTCGTCCGCTATCAAGTAACAACTCTCTGGCTTTTTCTAAAGCTTTATCGATAGCGCGACCATCACCGCTTCGCGGAATGGTGTTAATATACTGATTTAGTCTTTCTTTATTTCTAAAGTCACCAAGTCTCGCCATGATGTTTGCTTTCTTTTCACCATATTCAACTACACCATAGTAGGTATCCGCTACTTTGATCGTTTCAAGGAAGCCGCTGACCATGTCCTTCTCCTTCTCAAATACCTCATCAGCATTTGGACCGCAGGCTCCGAAGACAAACACCACATCCATCGGGTTCTCTGAGAAAGAAAGTCATTGTAGTCACATGTCTTGTGATTGGCCAATAGCTTACAGCTACATATGGAGATCACACAACCTATACACATCAATCAATTATACGCTAGCAGCATATCCGAGTTGTGTAGACTTATACAAGCGGCAGTTTAAATACACGAATAAAAACAAGAGAAACAACATGAACGAATGGAGTTTTTGTGAATGTTTTTTTGTGCAAAAAGTAGACTTTTTTACATTTTTATCGAAACTTCAGCAGGTAAATGAGATTTCTAATATCTCTATGATGTTATTGTGATATTTAGAGCGTTTTCACAAGTTCTTTTTGAATGAAAAATAATGTGTATTAACCTTTTTCATCCCCAGCCTTCGCACCAAATTTCGCGGCCAACTTCTGACGATATCTTTGTCGCTCTTCTTCATTCATCGTGCCTTCTGGCTCAGCTGACGTCACCGGAACCTAACATGAAGTATCAAACACAATGGAATAAAACCATCACTGCCTGTTTTAACCCTCATGCAGTGAGACACGTTACCTCGTTTCGTCGTATCTTAGGTTCCAGGCCTTCAGGATCTTCATCACTCTTGATGGGTCTCTTCCTATCCGACCATCTTCTAGTCAGTGTACTGGGCCGAGGTAGACTGTTGTATGCACCTTGTCGTAGTTGAAAAAGAGTACGATCGCTGTATCGAAATCTTGAATGGAGGCGGGGTAGAGTACCGCCTTTAGGAGAATCTGGCTCACGCAACCTAAACAAAATAGTACGACTAGAAGTTACTATCGCAAAGTAAAGTGCTGCCTCGGGCAGGCTACCGCTGAGTAGCCTGAGTTGCTTTTGTTTAGGAGACTCAACCACTGAAATGTATATACATCAGGAAAGCTGATAAATTACGCAATCAAAAGATGCAAGCAAATAGCTAGTTTTCATTGGCTGATCAACACATTTACGACATATCACGCAACCTACACAAAATATTATGATACAGTAAAAAAAATTTGGCAAAAATATTTTGGTCAATTTAAGCACTTTTTTTACTAGGCGAATTTATTCGCACGAATGTGATTGGTTAGCTAAAAAAATTTCGCGGCAAATTTTGTTGCTAACCGCAATCACATTTCTGAAACTTGTTTTTCGATACGACTTTTCGTATAATCTATTTCCAGAATAAATATATTGTATGTGTCATTCTTAGAGTTGGGCGATATTAAAAATGTCATAACACGATTATCGTTTGGGAAATTATCACGACATTTGATAGTATCGCGATATATGCAATGAAAACAATAAACCACACAGTTTCATTTTTAATAACTATCCACACAAAATAAGCTACACTAATTTCATTTGCAAACAACAAACTAAAGGAAATAAACCTTGCTTCAGACGAAGAAATTTTTGTACTAAACGAAGCTGTAGTTTCTCCAAACACGAAGAGAGCAACAAAGTTTTGTTCAACAGTGTGTGGAGGTATTCTTTAAAGGCATTTCTAATTAATAAGATCACTAAAAGCTTGTAAATACAGTTAACAAAGTGTTTTAAAAATATTTTCGTTGGGTTTTTTTATCGTTTTTGTTTTGTTGTGGTATATGCTAAAACAATTATTCAAATTCACCTCATTGTCGATGAATAATTGGCAAATATCGCCTAACTAGTCACTCTGTAGGTAAGATTTCAATACCTGTAGAAAGTGTGATGCTCCACAACGGATTTATAAAGCTCTTTGGTTGCTCGATCACTTGGAGTCTTAAACACCACCGTACTCACGAACGCTTGGTACTGAAATTTACACAAAATAAGAACATTTACATTCTCTTCAATGAAGTTTACTGTTGATCTTTTTGGAGATAAATTGAGTTACTGTATTGACTTTAAACATTTTTCTTTGTGGCACATGATGTTAGAGTTAAATCTTTCTCGAGTTTTTCTGAGAGTATACTGTAGACACGATCCCCTGTGCTTCAACAGACAGGGTTGTCAACCCTTTGGTGAAGGTGAAATTCAAGGACTTTTCCAGGATTTCCAAGGACTTTTTTCGAATTCAAGGACTTTCCAGGATTTTCAAGACCCGTGGACACCCTGAATAGATATAGTTACATCGTACCTCTCCTGGTTTGATTTTGATAAAGAAATTTCTTCCTTTATATTTTACTTCTTCGATCGTGGGCCTATAAAAGAAGAAACGCGAGTGTTTGGAACAAGCCTAGAAGATATATTTTTTCTTCTTGCAAGTAAAACCCAAAAATATAATTTCCTGTCTCAGGACCTGTTTATATATAGCCTGCGATGTAAAATAGAGCCTGATCGCAGGTTAGTTTATATATGGAAGCCGGGCTGGCCCGCTTAGCGAGACAGCCTGGTAAGCAACCTCGCACCCAGGGCCTTTGCGCGGTTCAGAGGCCCTGGGTACGAGGTTGCCTGGTAAGCGGGATGAATTTCTCTTGTTTTTATATCAGAAAATTTCATCCCACTTGCCGGGACAATTTTGTTGTTTTGATATTGTTTTGACAGTAAGTTAAAAATAACTTGCGGCAGTATCTTTCAACGTGCATCCCAACAATCGCTTGCGAGTGTTTAAATAGAGAAATTTCCTCTCCTGTTTATATGGAGAAATTTCCTGCTTCTTTCAAGCGAGATCTCGGCACGAAGTTCGGTCCAAAAAAAATATTATTGCACGCTGTGATTACCAAGCCCCGGCGCGGTCCATTGTTTGCTAAAAAGCGCGCGAAAATGCCATATTTTTCAAAGCGTAACCATTGAACTATAAATAAACTGGAAGGCTAACTCAGGGGGGGAAATTGAAGCCAGTGTAGTTTTTCTGAGTTATGAGCAGAAATACTCAACACTGAACGTTGGGCTATATATCAAATTGAAGCTATTGAAAAATGCTATTTGGTGTAGAAATTTCAAGACTTTAGCTAAAAGGGAAATATTGAAAAACTACAAACATAATTACCGATAATTTGCCGTTTTGCAGTTGTTTTTGTATTTTTTAAATATTTTTCTTTTCGCTGAAGTCTTGAAATTTACACACCGAATAGCAATTTTCAATAGCTTCAATTTGATATATAGTCCGACGTTTGGGGTCAAGTATTTCTGCTCATAACTCAGAAAAACTATTTTGGCTTCATCAAATCATAGGCCTTTATCATAGCAGTTAGCCTTCCAGTTTATTTATAGCTCAATGAGCGTAACCAATATAGCTTTGCTTTTGTTCTAGCTTTTGAATATATAATTATTGAATTCGGTTTTCGTATACTCGACCTCATCAGTTCAATAATTGTTTTCATAATTCTTACCAAGAAAATTTGTTTGTACGGATTTGATCTTTGTAAATCGCAATACCAGCAAATGAAACACCAACATGAATCTCCCCACCTTCTGAGTCCTGGAAGACAAAACGGAGTTCATGAGATGCTACGTAAATTGAGGCCTGTTTAACTTTCATAGGGGGGATTGGATTAAAAACTGTTTTTATGTCAGTTTGTGGTTCAAAATAAATGACAAAACAAAAGATTTTTAAAATTTTTGTTTCCTTGCACGAGCGATATGATGCAAAATGCAGCCAAGTTATCTGGACAAGAAAGACGAAATATATCATTATAGCTCAAAAGAGCATCCTAAAATTAGTAAAATTGCAAAGTTTGGTTGCAAAATGTTGTAAAATACAGAAAAATATAGCCCTGCGAAATTAGCAAATTTTGAGTATTTTAGTATTACGCGCGGTAAAAATAACCACTTTCGGCTCAAAAATGGGCGACGTCCAATGACAGAAACGTCGCTTGTTTAAGCTCACTAATATATTCGGCGATTCGTCGAGTTTAAATGAGTTTTGTTCCAAGCTAATAGTGGGAAAAGTGGCAAATATGAAATTACCCTTGCTTCATGCAAGTCGACACCATACAGTGTCAGTTTTCTTGCGTATTCCAAGTACTGTAAATCAGCTTCCATTGGCGTCAGCCCCCTAAACAATTTTTAAAGGTACAAAATAGAAAATTAGTCGTTGACAAACAAAATGTTGCTTTGCCTATTTCTTTACTTACTTGTGCGTCCTATGGAGTTCTTTGATCTTTAAAATCAATTCTACAGACTGTAAAGAAAGTAAAAATTAATAAAGTTGCAACCCATAAATTATGAGACATAAGGTATACGGTACCCATAGGTATATGGTACCTATTGAGCACATAGATATCTTATATACACTAGATAGTGCATCTAATTATTCTGCAATTCACAAATTGAACCCGTGATTGCAGACTCAGGATATTCCCATGAAATGAGAAGACTCGTATGTTTTCTATTTTTTAAACAGGGAACTTAAACATTAAGTTAAACCTATTCCAAATACATTTTCAAACTATTCAAATGATGAAAGTTATTGTTAAGCGTTTATTTGCGAGTGGGAAGTACCAACATGGCCGCCATCTATTCCAATGGGGGTAACCGCTGGAATATTCTTGGCTTCAATTTTACTAAAAGAGATGCGCTATCTAGTGTATATAAGATATCTATGATTGAGCATCAGTTCCCGCTCGTGAAATAGCCTGGTGTTAGGCAGAGTAAAATAATAAAGCAGGGCGCCCTAAGGCTGATTTCCACTACGCAACATGTGCCAAAAATTGTCGCATGCGACCTGCTTACAACTTGAGTTGTACTGTGTAAATCAAGCACACAACTCACCTAAGTTGTCGGAAATATAATAGAGTTATCCAATACAAGACCTATTCTTATAAAGTCAAATATAACTGCTGACCTGCTCAGGTGCAAACACCAATCCATCAAGATAGTCTTGGCCATGTTGAAGAGGATCGTAGTCTCCAAATTCCGCTAAGATATTAATGGCAATAAAAAATTAGAACAACTGTGCTTTATGACAAACAGATTCAGCTGTCATGCTCTGAATATGCATAACAGGGTGTCCACCCTTTGGTGAAGGTGAAATTCAAGGACTTTTCCAGGACTTTCAAGGCCGATTTTTGAGTAAATTCAAGGACCTAGAACTGGGAAAAATCTTTGAAAATGGCATGGATTTGCCGTAAATTATTAACTTTAAGATTCAGTAATTTTAATCAAAATCACTAATGTTGGCACAGCTGGAGGTTAAGGAAATTAAGTCAAGGACTTTCCAGTCGTTCCTGGAATATTTTTTCCAATTCAAGGACTTTCCAGGATTTTCAAGGCCTGTGGACACCCTGGAATAAATTGAGACTTTTGGGGAAACAAAAATATTCAATATACTGTATATTTATGTACCAAAACGATACGGTATGTTTTGAACAGTTCAAATATGTTTTGAACAGTCCAAATCTTAAACATTGGGCCACATTTTAGATATGAAAGCTTCAAATTGAAGAACTTCGACGTTTCGTGCACCAAGGGAAGGTCTTTCGAAGGATCTACTAAATTCACTCAGGGCCTTCACTCAAAACATCAAAGTTCTCCTTGTATTTTTCAGGTAGTTGTATTCCTATCAATCTGAAGCTTTCTTAATATTGGCTCTCACTGATACCTACACTGGTACAGACCTTGAACAATCATATTTTAGATACTAACTTACATTGAATGACATATGATCCCAGCAAGGCTTGTGCAGAAAATGAACATGGTAAACTATAAGAATGAAGTATAGTATGGCAGTTAAAGAAAAGTAAATTAAAACAGTTATTAAAGCAAAATAAAGGGAGAACAACTTGCCACTTAGGAATGTTTTGTTGTTGAGAAAAGAATACAAGAGAACTAAAATTAACATTTATGTCTTTAATGCTTCCTTACCCTCCTGTGGCAATTTCTTCTCGAATTTGAAGTGCCATGAGATACCTGCAATAAATATTTTAGGAATACAGTCGTTAAATATAACTTCAACTCAGTTTATAGCTTGCACACATGAAAATCCATATATACTGTACAAGAACATTTTAACTTGTCAACTGGCTTCTGGAGCTCACTTGGTTAGAGTGCTGCACTGGAATCACAGGGCCGTAGGTTCAATTCCTGCCAGAGGACCTTGTGCTGCATTTTGGCGGTCTAGATACCCGAAGATGCGAGTTCAAATCCCACTCGAGCCAACGAAATTTTCGTTGCTCTATTGCAGTGTCAGAATAATATGAAACTGGTTCCTGGTTAGATATTTGGGTTTGTTACAACTTGTGCATTACGTGTGTACTCCAATATCCAGTCATTAAATATAGCCCATTTCGGGCAAGTACTAGTTTTGCATTCCTAACAAAAGTTATATGTTGTATGGTACTGTACCTTGTGTAGTCATTTTTCAGTTGTTCTGGGTTAGGCTCAAAGAACTTCACTGCAAACTCAAAATTTGCACCAGTACCTGACAAAATGAACGAGTTTACTTTCAAACTGGTAATGGCCAACACTTGGTTTGTAGTTAAACATTAGTCAAGGGCAAAATAGGGGTGCATAAGGCCATAAGCTTTTGGGTTAAAATGTGACATAGCCATAAAGAAAGGTCATAGCCTTTGCTCGAAACATTGAAGTTTTACTAATCACTTGTATTTTTTCAGGCAGTTGAATTCCTCTCAATTCTACACCATTGCCATTCAAGTTTATAACATGGGCACATAGTCTGGTAATCTGGTCAACTGTCAACTATACACACGCAAAAATCTAACATCTTGTAGCAAATCTGCTGTCTTCCAACAAGTTTGGAACAAGCTGTTAACAATTTGTAATAACCTTGTTGATATTATCAGACTTGTTGCAAGATTGTTCCAACAAGTCCGATACAGTCATGATATAACAATATTGTTACAACCTTGTTTCGTCAACCTTGTAAATTCTTGTTATATCATGACTGTATCATGCAGGCTTGTTAGAACAACCTTGTAAGAAATCTGATAATGCCATCAAGCTTGTTACAAGTTGTTAACATCTTATTCCAAACTTGTTACAACAACTGGGAACAAGCAGTGCGAACACAACCTGTCAACAGTTTGCAAACAGATTTGTAACAACTTATTGGAGACATACTGTATAACAACTTGTGCATTTTTATGTGTGTAGTATCTGTATCAGTAGCATTTTATATTATCCAGACAAAAAGTTGTCAATCTGTAAAATATACTTAACATGTCCTTAACACATTCAGCGCCGGTGCCCTCCCCTTGACAAGTAAAATTGTCCAGCATTAGACAGAATAAAATAGCGGGGTGCAACGCAATAAAATAATTTTGTAAACATGAAGAAGACACTGTGTTTTGAGGCAGGCATACGGGGTAGACATTACGCAGTTATGCTCACTTAAGCAAGTGCCTCTCCCGGCTTAGACCGATTAATATGGATTAAGGGGTCATTAAAGTTAATTTTCTATATGTTACAATTTTCAGTCAGAAACTAGAGCACTCATAATGATTAGCAAAGTAAAATGTGTCCTAATGTACTTCAGGCCTTAAAATATCTTTTACAGGGCCTTCTGACAAAATGTCCGATGACGTTGAGTTTGGGTCGGACATATGTCCGATGACATTCAGTTCAGTTTTGACTCGGAAATAAGTCTGAATGCCGATACAAATGATTATCAGCAGAATGTATTAATTCTGAACGGTAAATGTTGTGAAGATATTAAATATTAATTTGTTTCTTTCATACTTATTTCCAAGCCAAAATTAACTTGCTTTCCAGAACAGCAGTAAAAGACTTAGACAACTTAAGCCCGTTTTCCACTTCACCATGGATTTCGCTCCCGCCCCGCGCTCGACTACGTTAAAACAAATTTCCAGTTCACCTTTTATACAATTAACATTACAAGCCTCTAGTCCTGGGATAGGTACATTTTGATTTACGTTGGACAAAGCTACAGTTCGGTCGGACACAAATACACTCAGGTCGGACAAACAATAAACCTCAGTTTCACTTTGGTCGGACAGAATGTCCGGTGGTTTTCTCTCTACGTCGAACAATTTCACGAATGGGTCGGACAATGTCCGTGACCGACCGATATTTTAAGGCCTGGTACTTTGCATATAATAACTCAGACTTATTCTGTCTTCCAATGATGACTGTATTTGTCAAGAGCATTTTTCGGCATATGGCTAAATGCCTTAGACAGCTAGAATACAAATGGAAGTTAGTTGTCAAAACTGATCAATATCAGATGACTGTGACATGAACAGGTGGACCCTAACTAATTTGTTTTTGCAGCCAGTATCTGTTATGGGATTTAAATGCAATAACACTGAGAAACTTTATCTAATACTGCCACTTTGTGTAATAACTTTATAGATACAATCTGTGTACATATCAATTCAGCATAGCCATTGAAAGCTGTTTAATCAATTCTTCAACCACATTTTGAAGATGTCCAATTAAACAGACAAAAATATAACATTCATGTGGGATGTAAATTTGATAATTTCATGTTCATGAAAATGAGAATTATGTGATACGGGTTTGTGGTTAGATTTTGTAGATCGATGCAAGCTTATGTGCAAATATTCTAGATTATGTAGATCAAGGAAATGAATCTCATTGCGCAGTTGAGCAATTTAAATTAAAAATGCCACATGGTGATTAGTGTTTACTGAGGGATTATAATTATTTCTTGTTCATTCCTGTCTTTTGTCTGCAGAGATTTGAGATTTGTTGTGTCTAAACGTCATGTATTCTGTGAATTATATGACATGGATTCCAGACTCTCACTTGCATTTAGAAGTAAATTGGCTCGCATTAAACAAAGTAAATGTAGTGTACTGCGTAAAATAGAAAATTACGACATAGCCTCAACACACTAACATGTATGCAATTAATTAAATTGTGCCATAATATTGGGCATATAGAGAACCAGCTCTGGCAGCAACCAACCCTTTAAGTGGCATTGCACCCTTATGCGCCCTACTTTAGTACTTTACTCTGTCTAACACCAGACAATTTTACTCGTCAAGTGGAGAGTGCTGCCACTCAATGGGTTAAACCCACGAAGAGCCACCACTCGGCCCTCGACAGGTAAGATCGTCTGGTGTTAGGGAGGGTAAAATAATAAAGTGGGGTGCATTGGGAAGCACTGTAATTAATGGGTTAAGGGGTAATGCGTTTTCCAGTGAGTTGCGAGAGTGTTAGTTTGGATGTGAATTGAGCATGTTTTCATTTAATGTACCAGGGGTATCAAAGTGTACAAATAGATGGGTAAAAGAATTGTATTTCTTAATGTAAGACATTAAATAGTCTAACAATTATTCGACAAATTAATCGAATAAGTACTGTATTCTATAATGACTTATTAGTATAATTACATACTAATGATTATTGAAAATTCTCCACGCTGATTGGTTGCCGTCGAGGTGATTATAACGTGATAATCACCTAAGCGGTTTTCGAAATGGCGGCCAAAGCCATTTTGTCAATTAAATGACAAAGAAATGTGTATTTTTTTTCTTCAAATAATCACCTTTGAAATTATACTAAAATAATTATTCACCTAAGGCTCGGTGATTATCGTGAATAAAAACCTTTACTTCGTCTCGGTTTTTATTCACCAATAACCACCTCGCCTTCAGCAAATAATTGAACATTAATTATTCTTTATATACTATAAATAGCCGCAACGTTGAAGTTTATGATATTGAATTAGCAAATGTCAGAAATAACTATTACTGTCAACCTTTGTACGTGACGTGGTCATGCATCGCATCATGTGAAACTGCTGTAATTCAAAAAGATAGCGAATACTCTCACAACGCCTTCTGTAGTAATACTGTACATAGTTGACGCACCACAAGGAAACGTCACTATAGATGCATGAAGACCAATAGGGAGAAATGAGTAATATCAGTACACATATTTGTGGGGATGACATCATATCTATGAAGGTGAAAAATGTCAAACAGTACTGATCATGTGATTGACATAATATTCTATTTTGAGATGAAACTGTGATATCTTATCATATACAAAGAAAATATTGGTAGCATATGTAGCATTACACACTGAACTTGAAAATCCACTGTGTCATGAACCAACTATTTCAGAGTTCTTAATATACTAACCGTGCAGTTGTTTTTTGACGGGTTTCTGAGTTTCTAACCAACGCTACATAAATGAGAAATTCTGTTAATTTTTAACCTCATTAATTATGAATCACATTTGAATTTGAAACTCAGCTTTGTCAACAAAGCTTTGTAACAAATTCACACACGATCCTATCATACAGAATATTCCAAATGTTAAAGATTCTTTATATAGAATATATGGAAAGTATTCAATATTGGTATTCAAAACGACACTGTTGATCTGTTACATTGTTTGTTTCTTCAAATAGACAAAACAATATCCAATATTCACTGACTGCTTCCCGAATAAATTCAAAACAAATTTGCTTACGATAACTTTCTGCACGCCCATACCTTCACACCGGTTTTCTGATCAACATAGAGGAGTCCAAAGTACTCCTTCTCGTCCACGTTCAAATGCTGGCAAATCTTCTCTATCAACAGCTTTCCCGGCGCATTTTTCTGCACAAATCGAAAACAAATTAGAACGAAGCGAGCTCGTAGTAATTAAATTAAAAACGAATGTAGGTGATGATAGAATCGCATCGAAAGCAAACGTTTCATTCTGGAGCGACTTTTAAATACTATGACATATCCTGGATAATAAACTGTGTATATCTGTGAACAGCTTGATAATTTCTGCTATTAAAATTGGTCCTTCTGCCACTTGAATGATGACATTTAAAACCGAGTGATGATGCCAAAATGTTATTACATGTTTGTAAAAAGTTTAGTCGAGTTTGCAGCCCACACTTTCATATTTACAAGTAGTTTTACGCTCTAAACTGTTCGCTTTCGTTTAAAGGAATTATCTTAAGACAAAAGGGAGAAGGAGTGTTAACATTTTATTATTTTAAGCGGCGGGGTTCAGGAAAGCTTTAAACCAAACAAAACTATATTTAAATATATGGTAGACAACAAGGCAACATACTAGATTATAGATCAGAAATTTCCCCGAACCATCTGTTCAATATAAAAAAGCTAAGCGATATAAAGCTTAAACTATAAAGCACCCCTGATGTAATCTAGTATGAATCTTGAAAGTAGCATACAAAGATTTCCTGAAGGAGTATATTCGATTCGAATGAACTAGACAGCAAATTCACTACAAACCTCGATGTTTATATTAAAGCTTGCGCCGTCCAGACAAGCTATACTACACGCTAGCTTGTTTCGACTTGGTTTCCGAGTTTTAAAAACTTCTCCTGCTTCACTTTCCGACCCTTCTCGCTCCATATTTAGAGCAGAATCTTGAAAAACCTCGATATTTATGTTCCAACAAGTTGACACTCAACTCGCTTTTAACTGTGCTTCTACGAAGCGTAACTTGAACGCGTCGGTCGTCAAGCTAGTCACGTGCTTGTTAATTAGCGTTTCGACCAATCAGAAGCCGTTCTCGTGTCCTGCCCTTTCGTTTTCGAGCTTGGCGCCATTAATAAAGAAATTGTCAAAATTTGAAAAGCGGAATTCCTTTTTAATGATTTTCCGTCGTCCCTCCCTCGTATTTAAGTCATTAGAACCCTTAACAAAGAATTTATCCATGTTATTGTTAAACCATAAAACAATATAGTATCTCCATAAGTTACTCTCTCAGTCTCTCTATATAAAAATAGTGAAATCGTAAATTTTCAGTTCCAAGTGAAAAAGGAAGAAAAAACCAACAATCGACAACGGCGCTATTTTTACCTAGCCGATTTCCTCCGAGCGAAAGGGTAAAACTCGTATAACATATTTTATACATGTGTCGGTTGGCGACCAAATACCCAACTTGTTTCAAACCTGTTGGTCCAACAATGAGGCCGAGTAATATGTTAATTCTTTCATTTTATGCAGAAGTATTGAAGTAAAGGCGGTATAATAACATACGTCTTTTTTTCTACGTTTATACACTTTCATTTATACGATATAGCTTCAAAGAATCGTAAATTTCGAATGCCCTCGAGCAGGAGTTCAGTGTAATCCATGCTTCCGTCTAGTCAGTGGCGTAACTACTATGGGCTCGGACCGGGAGAACCCGGGGGCCCCCAACCCCAATGGGCCAAATGGGGGCCCCCAGGCTCAGGCTATAGAGCAAAAGCATTAGCCAGGGCCTTTGATATGTTACAATTTCGTTTTCTGACCATCAGAATTCTGTAAAATCTCTCCCCAAAGTCCGGGAAATGGTATTTCAGAGAATCTAGATTCAAAAATTTTCCGGGTGAGCATGCTCTAGACCCCCTAGAAAACTTGTGCATATATGGCGCTCGACTTGTGCCTTTGGCACTTCTACTAGGGGGGCCTTCGAAAGTTTTGAACCGGGGGCCCCCTGATATGACGTTACGCCACTGCGTCTAGTTAACCCTGAGCGAGTAAAAACAGACGGATTCGAAGCCATATAGGGTAATATTATTCGCACTTCTCACTAATTCATTTCCACATTGATGAACAGCTTACAGAATCGCTAGTAATGCTTGCATGACGGTATCATGGTAACTTGATAAAGCTATTAAGGTTTTACTCAAATCACCGGGCACCTGCTTTTTACCTCAAATTCATTCAATATATGTTTCGTTTTTCACTAGCAGAAAAACAGCTGTATCTTGTTATTAAAGTATTCGGCCTTAGTTATGACATTATAAGCTACTCACAAATTAGTCGAATAACCACTAGGGATTAGGTCGTAGCTAGGGAGCCGTATATAGCTATTAGCACGCGCTTGACGATGAAACTAATGCAATTGTGCGTGCGGTTTTGCGGTATGACAATCAAGTATGAGGCGTAATTAAAAAAATATTAAATATTGCGGAAGAAGCGACCAGTTTTACTAGACTGTTCTTCTTTGAGCTCCAATAAAGCAGAAATATAAACTAAACTAAATTTTATTTATACTCGTACCACAGATAGCTTATCATTTCTAGATTGTTCTTCCTATAGACGTCCAGTTGAAAGTCGCCGTTATTACGTGCAACATTGTGCGACATTACCTCTATGACATTACTAGCAATTTTCAAAGAAAAGTCGAATTATACTAGTTATAAATTTGGATGCACATGGGCGAAATTAGGCAACCTTGGCCCCAAAGTAAGCCTTAACACACAGACAACGTAACGGCAAAGACAACGCTAAAACTGAAATATTGTCGATTGCAGCTGGTTGCTGGTAGAAGACTTAAATAACTCCTTAAACTATAAGAATAAATGTCAGTTCACATCAAAGACAACCGATCAGTCCCAACAGTGGCGGCGCCAGGCCATAGCCAGGCCTCCAAATTTGGGGGGGCATTTGAGGGGCAAACTCAAATTTGGGGGGGGCAAGATAGAATTTTTAAAAAGGTGCCCCCCCCAGGAGATTCGCCCCCCCCCCCGCCCCTGTGGCGATATCGTTTCCCAGGGGGTGGGGCGAATACCCTAGGAATATCGCCCCTCTTTAGGACATTTGCCCCCCCATATATGCGATGTGGTTTATTCAAATAATATCATGTTTGCGTGAATTTCTATTGTTCTATTGTGCTGTGTTAGTAACTAATTCACTCGCCTACTCAAATGTACAGGTCGTATTAGAACTAATACGACCTCAGTTGACGTCACTACGGGTCGTATTAGTATTACCACATCACCTGGAAAGTTTGAGCAAAATCATCACAAAATTATGCACTGAAAAACACAAGCCCCGACAAGCCACAACATTCTCTTCAGTACAGAACGTCTTATAACGCTCGCCGACATCATTGACATTGTCTGAACACTGATTTGGGTGAAATTCACGCAAAAATAATATTGCAAAGTAATATCATGAAATGAGGAGTATTAGTCATTAAACCACCCGCTCGACTCGGGTCATTTATTAAAATTCCCTCGGGCCTACGGCCCTCGGGAATTTTAATAAATGACCCTCGTCGAGCGGGTGGTTTAATGACTAATACTCCTCATTTCATGATATTACTTATAAAAGTCGCCATAATTGCAATTGCTTTTTAATTAACCAGCGATATTTCCCGATCTACATATTTCTACAATCGTGACCTGAATGAGCCTACGGTCGTAAGAAAACTTTGACACATCTGTCTTATTTGGCAGTTTTCTCAGTTTAATTAGCAGTACCATAGATATAATGTGACATGCCAACACTGGCGAACAAGACATTATTGTCTTTGTGGCCTATAGCTTATTGAAGCGAATAATCAGCTGATTT